CTACAAGCAACTCACCCGGCGTGACAATGCTAATGAAGACAGCACCAGCACACCGTAAGTGTGTGGAAAGCCCCTTTTTATGATTTTCTTCTATTATTTATAGTTTTTGAGATGATTTTGCTACTAACTAGCACAGAAAGAATGCTATTGGTCTTTTCTTCTGAGACATTTTTAAATGCCTTTTTCTGCTGTTTTATTCTGTTCAGTTTGGGTCGAGTGGGACTAAACTAGGTGCAGGTGACATTAGATCTGCTGAAGTACCTTTTAGAGTTAGCAGTATGTATATGTCCAGCTACTCGTCCTCTCCCTCACATAAAGTCACTGATTTGCTGCTGCTCCGAGTCCCAGTCAAAACTACGAGCAAATAGGTAATTTAAGCTTTACTAATTGTAGATAATGTAGATAGATGCTGCTTCCTACTTGAGCTACCCACCTGATGGAGGATTCTGCTATATAAGCGATTATTTTAATTTACGAGAGCATGTTGGCCAGCGGTCTGTCTTAACTATAGGAATAAAAGGATACATTAGCTTAGTATTATGTTAGCTACTCTCATAACATCAAGGCTCACAGTGTTTCCCACAATTATACTTTACGGCGTGACGCACAATAAGGCACACAATACATTTCTCCACATTGTCCACAAATATGATCTTGCCGACTCGTAACAGGAGCTTGTGTGACCTCCTTTTAGAAGCACTGTCCAGCAGTTTGCTATGTAGCTATAGGTTACGGATTTTGCATTTAAGTCTTATACATAATATGTTTGTGATCTATTAGTCATAAGATGAAAGCCTATGTTCTTAAATATTATCTGCAGAATGTAATTAGATCTCTGAAATGATCATTAGAGAGCTTGTTCTCAGTTTTGTCACCGTTTGGCAGTGTCACTTACCACTGGCACTGGGTTGTTATGTTGCCTGGGGGACGCCACTGTCGATCATTTTGTGTTCTGACACAAGTTATAAGCAGTCAATAGCTCAGATTTTTTGGAACATGTATCTACTATTAAATTGATTTAAATTATATATTTTTTGAGTAATACACTAGTAAATGCTTTTTCTATGGCATATCTCTACTATTAAAACCATTTGAAACCATGTTGATGGGGCTTTAAATGGAAAAAAATAAATATTCAACTACAGAACAAAGGTTCCTTTATGTTTCCTAATTTTAATGGTTGTTATTTGTGTGTATGTGTGTGTGTGTGTTTCTGCATGAAAAAATGTGTGTTTAGAGCCCAGCTCAGAAGGCACCAGCGTGTGAGAACATGGACACGTCATGTGGACATATTTGAGAAAGACTTCCTGTTTGTGCCTGTCAATCAAGAGTGAGTAATTTGTGTGTGCATACCTGTGAATGAATATGCACACATATATAGGTGGAAATTACAGGGGAGGTCAGGGGCGTCCTTACCCTCCCTTCCTGGGAAGGACAGAGTGTTGTCCCCCTCAATATATCATTCTAAGCATAACGATATAATTTTAAATAATATAGAAATATTAATTGAAATAACGTTTGCTAATTATAGATGCAGACAATTCAAAAGTTTCAAAGGTTTCATCCCATTCATATGCCTCACAGTGGTTTGGTCCACTGCCTACCATCCCAAACCATAGATGCGGTTGGTTGAGCCATGTCATCATGTCAATGATGCTGCCATTTTGGGGTGGTTAACATGCAGTACCCAACTGCACTTAGTACCATTACAGAACTGCAGTTTAAGAAAGGTACTGTCCAAAACTATACTATTTAAAGTATATTACGTTGGTGAAGCAGAGAACTCGGTGGTCTTTTCCTCTTGGTGGTGTTTTCCAGGTGTTTTTATATTAAGCTTATTTCATTTAGTTACCTATGTTATTAAATGAAGTAGTTATATTCATTTATTTACAGTGATTGTTAATGCAGAGTAAGCATTGTAGGAGCAGCATTCCTTAGTGTAGATAATCACATTCGATTAGCACCTTTTTACTATGTTTTTGGAGGTGTGGCATCTGTGTATTTATATCTATGCTCCAAACTCCCATTTGGGGTCCCCTTCAGGAATTGCTCTTGAGAATTCTTTCTGTTTATTGTCCCCCCACCAACAGTGAATTAAAATGTCCACACACTGGTATCATTTTTACATGACAGAGCAGTTGATGACTAATTCTGTGTTATTTTGCAGAGCTCATTGGTATCTAGTGGTTGTGTGTTTCCCTGGGATGGATGAACCCCAGTGGATGGAGAGGGAAGGCCAGGACTCTGTGCAGGAGGCGACAGAGACCTCTAGTGACTCCATGGTTGGGAGTGAGAATCAAGAGGCTGGCAGGCACCACAATGATGGAGATAAAAGTTCAGGTATATGGCACAGAGACTTCACCATATTGGCTGTATTTTTGTGTATGTCCTTTGTGTTACACATAACTCACTAGTGTTTTTTCCTTACTGTAGATGAAAACAATTCAAGATGTATTTCCACTCCTGGTCCACCAGTAAGTGTCTTTCATTTTAACCATAAGCAATAGTGCTAAAAAGGTTTGAAGTATATTTCCATATTGATATTTTGACACCTTTGTCTTGTATCTTTAGAACTGCACAGAAAAGACATGTATGCACAAGACTGTCTGTAAGAGGTATGTGTGATATTGTGCATTTCCCAATGTCAGGTGTGGTCCTACAAATATAAATGTTTAGATATATTATGTCAGAGGTTACCAACCCTGGTCCTAGGGTATCTCTTCAACAGCACATATCGGCCAATAGGTGTTTTTAGGGGGCGATACGAATCTGTGGATCCATTTTTTTTGCCATAAATTTTGAGGTTTTTCTCTGCCTATTACCTTAAAGACCTGTTCCTTAAGTCTTCAGTCTGTTTCTCTGTGTAATATTATCAGTGTAAAGCAAACATGCAGGCTGTCATTCTAAAGGTAGTATATAAATTCACCACATAGACAGCACTAAAAAGGCATGAATGTTTATGTAAATAAACTCATGTTGAACATAAGACTTTTCACAAATTCATATTACAGAACCAAATACTGTCTTAATGTAGGCATTCCATCTTATCTCAAATTAGGAAATTCTACTACTCAGTCAAATCGATAATAAATTAATCTTTTATCATTTATTATCAATTATTAACCTGTTATTAAGCAAATGACTATAACTGCATAGCTGAACACATAAACAAGTAATCAAAATAATGTAAACGAAAATGTAAATTATAGTTTACTAAACATATACTCTTGTTTAAAAAAAAAAATGATGTGAGATGAATTGGAAATTTTAGCAACCTTGATCAAAAAAGGATATTGTGACTGTTCCATCCCCCACCCCCTGCTCTTTAACAGTACATTGCCGATCCCCAGTTTCCGTTTCTGCTGTTGTTTTTGCTGACCTGCTCGCCATGCTTTTTCTCCTAATAAACACCCATCAGTTTAATTCTGTCTCCCCATTACTGCAATATAGTGAAGTGTAATTGTGCAGTTGTTTAAATTTTCTACAGACCCTGCATTCTCATAATGGACTCTCTGAAGCTATCTGTTCATGAGCGCATCTTCAAGCTCCTTCGCGAGTGAGTGTTTATCAAATTCTGCTGCTTCACAGTTTCATTGTTTGGTCACTTGTATGCATGCATGTATATATTTCTGTGCTTTATTTTTTTTCTAGGTACTTGCAGGTGGAGTGGGAGGTTAAAAGAGGCGGGCAGCGCGACTTCAGTGCAGAGCGGATGGTGGGCTCACACTGCCGAGTCCCCCTGCAGGACAACAGTAGTGACTGTGGCCTGTATTTACTGCAGTATGCTGAGAGCTTTTTACAGGTAAACACAAACGAAAATTACTAAGCTGTTTGGCAATCTACTTTTGCTGCTAATCTTCTTTTGTATATGCGTATTGCATATGTCTTTTGTTTGTTTCCCTAACCGAGTTTTAGCAGTAAAACTAGTAATTGCTTGGCAAAATGTATTTATGAACACTCACAGGTAACTTTGTGAGGTACACTTCCTTGTATCTACACTCATTGTCCATCTGTTTCACTGCATAATTTGTTAGCCTTGCTTCTCACTGTTCTTCGATGGTCAGAACCACCACTGAGCATGTATTATTTGGGTGATAAATCATTTTCAGCACAGCAGTAACACCAATATGGTAGTGGCATGGTTGGTGGTTGTATGTACTGCACAGAGTGGATCACACACAGGAATGTTGCTGGAGTTTTTAAACAACTCCTTGTTGCTGCTTAACCTAAGAAAATTTGCACCACTGCACCCACCTTTACACCCGCACCTCCCTCTCTCTCCCTTTGAAAAGTTATGCAATGCTAAAACGGAAGTGACAGGTAGAAGAACGCTTACCTTACAGAAACACAGTAATGATAATAGTAAGTAATTAATAAGTACATAGTCATTTTCTGCTTGTGCTGAATTTTCTGCCTTAGTTTTCTTGTGTAGGTCCTCAGGTCAATTTTTTTTATAGGGAACATTTTGACTTTAAGTATTTTTTCTTTTTGCTGTTGTAGGATCCTGTGGTGCACTTTGATCTTCCACTGAGGCTAGAGTGCTGGTTTCCACGACAACAGGTGCGTGAGAAACGGGAGGAGATTCGGGACCTTGTGCTGCACCTATACCGATTTCAGCAAGGCTCTCTGATAAATGAAGGCTCAGAGGACAAAACTGAAATAGGGAATGTAGTTCAGTGACATAATGCATTCAGGAGCATATGCTTATTTTATCCAACTTTTATTTATCATTTTTACTTTGCTTCTTCCCTTGTTTTAGGCCTTTTCTATATTTTTATGCTTTTTTACACATTGATGCAAAAACATGAATTTAGAACATAATAAATTTTTGTGGCTTAAGTGAAAATGCTTGTCATGTCAATCTGTGCTTCTGATAGGTGGTCAAGTAGAAAAAAAAAGAAAGGGTGCATCTGTGTAAGTGCATATGGTTACCACTAAGCAGACACTTAGACTGAGATTAGAGAGATTTACACATTCACAACTTTCCCAGTAATCCTAGGAACCCAGTCTACTTACTGTTTTAGAATTTCATTTATAAACAGATAGGTACCCACAGAAGTGTGCAGTGGTGATTTTAATGTCTTCTTTTTTGTTTACTGATGTCTCCTTAAATAATAATTTATCAGTAATTACCTATGTGTTTTTGTTTGTGAAGCTAGAATGTAAGTGGACGAGTCACCTGACCCTTGAATTCTCATATCTGATAGTTATTTTATTCACTTTGAGATGTAGATCACGTTTTTGCAAAATGGACCTCAAAATCATGCTGTAGCTTACATACACACTACCCTCACCCCAGGAACAACATGAAAACAGAAAACAGCACACCTGCAACTACTGTTGAACTTTTGTCATGTCTACACTTGGGAACCTATTCCTTGGTCAGTATCCTAAGTTGTGTGTAGCAGTATTGAGGTCACATTCATTATCTGTTCCTTTATTGTCCCATATGTTTCTTGCTCTTTCTCCTTATTCTCCCTCAGCTCACGTTTTCTTTGTTAAGCGCACTCTAACTCCAGTTTGTCCAGTTACTTCTTGATGAGCTCCTCTACAGGATTAACAAATGAGATTAGAGAGAGATAAAAAAAATCTCATCGTGCAGTTCCGTCTGTCTACCTGCCAAAGAAGGAGTTCATGCATCACGCTAACACAGCTGCATTCAACAGATGATCTGGAGAGGCAAAAAGTCTATCTGAGACTATCAGTGTTGATGTGAGCCACATACATTGGGCTATGAACAGGTGTGCGGAACTGTGGGATTGTTCCTTGTTGAGTCGTATTTACACAATCCAAAGCTGCTCTCCTGCTGCCTCCTTTATACGCCTCCACAAGTGACGGGAGAGAAGCCGACATGCTGCAGTTTATCTGGACTTCCAACCTGTGCTTTTTAGCCAGTGTTTTTTTCATAGGCCATTTGGATATTAACGCCGGTATGTATCTTTTAATGTACAGCCAGGAGTGACATTGTGAGTACAGTCTAAAAAAGAAAACCTCCAAGTAGATAGCTGTTCTCTACTTGTAGCTAATATGTACTGGGATGTCATCCACTGGGTTTGTATAGGGCAGATTTTTCAAAAAATCAGGAAAATATGGTTCTGACTGGTTCTCTAAACCAGAGGTTAGCAGACTAAGCATCAGGACCACCAGCCAATCTATTAGTATTGTATATTTATGGATTATTTTCCTGTTCTATCGGACATGCCTTTTTAAAGATTGCAATCACAGTGGAGGGACAAAGAATGTATAGATCTCTGATCATTTATGTGTCATGATGCGGTTTGAATCTATGACCTTGTGGTTGTGGATTGGAGGCAGTCCTAATTCAAATAATCTCACTATAGCTATATTGGTGGGGTCCTTCAATGTACAGAGCAACCTTAGGAATCACTGTATTGTAAACTCTACAATCCTATCAATACCCCTTTAAAATATGTTCATAAAACAGTATGTTAATAAATAAATAAACATTAAAATTTTTTTCTAAATTGTCTGTTTGTACCTGGGCTTTTCCAGATGCAGCTATCTGGGTCCCCAAACTAAGAGAACCAGATAAACTCTCACACAGCTCTAATTTTTCATGGGAACAAACTCAATCTGGAGCATTTACTGAAGCACCTGAGGACCAAGGACTATTGCCACGAAGGAAACGCAATGTTCTTCTTTCTAGCGGAGTGCGACTTTGCACTCAGGAGACTGTTCAGCAAGCCATAGCTAACCATCTCAAATATTACCGACTTAGAGGTGAGACACCTGTTGGCTGCTTATACATGTTCTAGATCATTTACAGTACAGTAGTAAATGTTTTGTTTCTAATGTTTTGTATTGCAGAATGGACCTATACTTTTCTGAGGCTTTGATCCCCTATACATTTACATTCTGCTGTAGTCACTGGGGAGGGAAGAAAGCTTAAATGTGTGTCTGTTAACTTTTTGGCAGTGGATGTAGATGTTCTGATATGTTAAGTATTGTACATTTGAGTAGTTGAGGCAGGATAAGAACTAAAGTACAAGTGGAGTCAAGTCACTTTGCCTCCCTTAACACACAAGTGGTTCAACAAGCAAATAACAACACACACATCTGATGTCAGACAATGAAGTTACCACCCTGGCCTAAATAGTACTCTATCATACCGGACATTACATTTCTTTTTTAGCTCTCTGACCTCAGTTGTGTAAAAAAAATGTTTTGGAGAAACGAATAGTGCAACAGTGGTTTAACTGCCACTTGAGTTAGACTGTTGGCTTTCGCTTCTGTTCTTTTTTACAAGCTAAAAATACAGAAGCAAACAAAACTAAAGGCTAATGGTCTATGTCTATATAATAACCAACAAACTGCTGTTTTAATATGGGTAAATCGTGTTGTAGACCTCCTTCATAGAGCACGACAAAGCTAAAGAGAATCAGAGAGAAGAACCATTTATGCAGTCAGGCAGTCCTTTAATATAACCATTACCTTTACTACAGAACCATTAAATGCTTTTTTGGTATGTTGCATTGTGTAAACTGGAATCAGGAAACACACAAGCCACATTTATTAATTCAAAAATAACATCTTATTTGTGTTTATCTTTGTCAGTCAGTCAGTTGCTCAGTCAAAGAGTAACCAGCAGGGGCTAAATGTCAGTGGGATGGTGGGTCACGGGTCAGTGGAGGGGGGGTTAATCTTGGCTTTAACAACTCACGTGTCTCTCCTTACACATCCAGTTAGGAAACCAAAGGGTGGAATTAAAGGTCATAAAGTGTTTTGAGTTTGGGCCAGTGAGGCTATAGCTTATATCCTCATGGCTAATGGTGTGAGTGAGCAGGGGAGTCTAATTAAAGTGAACCATGAAGGCACTGAACTGAAGTGTACTTGTAAAATCAGAAGGTCAGGTGGCAGTTCATGGTACAATTTTAAATAAATAGCAGTAGAGAGAATTTGTACTGTCAAAATCTTGCTCAATTAAAGGAAGTAAAGCTAAAATATATTTTTAACATATGTTTAACAAAGTTCAACCAATACATTAAAAAATTTCTTTGTTTGGTGGTGTGCAATGTTGTGGTGTATGTTGCCGCAATAAATAGGCAGCACTACTCTCACACAAAGACATTAACATAGTTATGGGCAGTTTTATTTTCATATGAATTTGGTTAGATGTTTTATTTAAAAAAAAAAGTGAAAGAGAAAAGAGAAACATGAAGAGTAAAATCTCCTGCTCTTTGATATTTATAAAGAGTACTTTGGTCTTGATGTTCCTTTATGTTCCATTTTCTTTTGTTATCCAGTGGAGTTACCTGAATCAAGAGCTTAGATTTATACCCCATGCCACATCAAAATTGGCAGCCCTGGTAGATGTGTACATAATAGTTCTTTTACAAGGCCATTGTCAGTTCTGGGGAAAAAAAATGTTTTGTTGCTTTTACAGTCTTCTTCTGCAAATCTGTAATTATACTTAAAAAAAATTAAAATACTCAACTTTGTTACTGCAAAGAAATTACTTAAAAATGAAAGCAGCTACAAAAACAACTTGTGTAAAGTAAAAAAGTGTAAAGTAAAAAATATTAATAATAAAATAATAATAATAAATAAATAATAAATAAAAATGATCGAATACTGAGTTCCCTATACATCTACAGTGGAAGCTCTTAGTACTAGCAGTCGCCATAAGAACAGAAGACTGTTAGACTTTTGGGATCCTTTTGGTATGAAATATAATGGTCAAACTTGAGGTGTAAGCAACAGCAAAACAGCTCAGGTTCTGAATAAGCACTACTGAACTAAATTAAACTCAAAATCAGTTGTTTGAATAGAAGTATTTTCATTAGAAATTCATTCAGGTTTTAATGTCTAGAGCGAGAGTGATTCACATACAGTTTAGCTTCACAAATTTTTATTAGTTTAATTTCATTTTATTTTATATGTTGATTATATAAGGGTATGTACTGTGGTTGTTGCAGTTGTTGATGGAGAATTGTACTTTCTGGCAGCACTCCCAGCTTTGTGAGCTCATGTAAATGGTTACATCACCAATGCACTGCTGCAGTGTCGAACCAGGACTGTCATTGGATAGACTAATATCAGAAATGCTAAAACTGAGCACATGCATACACACACGCGTAGATATGCGCAGTATTTTGGAGTGGACATCTGTACTCCTGCTCTAATGAACTAGGTGAACTGGTGTTTATGAGCTAGCAGAAATCAAGTGCTTGTCCTTACCAAAACCTTAAGGACAGCTGGTGACCATGGAGGAAGCCCTCAAAGAGCTTTTAACTTAATGGATCTAGCCTAATGGGTTGAGGACACAGATCAGATTACAGGTAGTTGAGCCTAAATTCATGGCAAATATGTGACAGTCCAGGCTTAGCTTAATTTGCATCCCTTAAACCATTTCAGTGTGTTTGGATGCTCTTGCTTCTGTACTTGGAAAGAAGAGGGGTTTTTTTATTTTCTTCTTTGATTTGCTTTGCTTCTTTTTAGTTATTATAGTCTTGGCCTAGAATCTATAGAGTCTTTCAGACACACAGCCTTAAAGACAATTACACTTTTTGATGATAGTATGGCATGTTTAGTTGTGACTTTATCATAGCATGTGGCACCTCAACTGAGAACAAAATAATATAGAAAATGTCTGAAAAAATGGCTTGCTGTCATTTTCTATAGCGTGCTCTATTGGTTAGATACAGGTCCTGGTTCAATTGCATTCCCTTGTTAACTATGATGCACATGATTCCTTCTGTCACCAGAGCTGTTTTTCTGCCTGACTACTGCTCTAATTTAGGTTGTTTTGCCCTAAATGACTCTGTTGACTCTTAACCCATGCCTTGTCTTTTTGCATGCAACATGTCTGCTTTTTTTTGTGCCTCATTTTTTTTATGATTTTTTGGTGCTGACTGTGGTTTGCTGTATTAGTGTGCCAGGAGACAGTGTGGGAGGCATTCAAGATTTTCTGGGACCGCCTTCCAATGCAAGAAGAATACCAGCACTGGATGAGCCAGTGCCAGGCCGGCACAGTCAGCGCACAAGAAATTAGCACTACATTCAGCCAGTCAGAGGAACATCTTGCCCTTATTCACAGAGTAAGTAGGACTTGTATCACTGGCTGCATGGCTATAAAAATGTACCATGTTTTTATGGCAGTATGTGGAGCATACAGACATATTTGTATTACAGTAACAGGCCACAAGATAAGCTTCACCTTACAACCTAACAAAACCCTTTAACCACAGTAAAGTCACTCTTACCCATGTGCTCAAGTGGCATATATAGCATGATAAAATTTATCAATAGGGTATATTTTTGACTATTATTTATTAATAATAATCATCACTGTATTACTAAAAAAAATAATGTGCCTTTACAATGGTCTAAACTTGACATTCCCTCTGGGTGCCCTTCCATTGGCAAAGGATGCCATTATGAAGTGCCCTCTATACCGCCCCTACGTGTCCCAAAGGATGCCCCTCCAGTGCATGAAATGTGACACAGTGCTGTAAAGGGTCTCCCTACATGTGTGAGAATGTGGGGGAATTTCTTTATGGATGCTCCTCAAGTGGAGAACATGTGATGTGGTGCCCTACAGGTGCCTTTCTGAAGACAAAAAAAAACTACGAAGTGCTCTTCTTAGATGCCCTTCTAAGTGAGAGAACACGAAGTGTCCTTGTAGTGGAGAGAAAACAATCCCAGTGAAGGAACTGAGATAGGCTTTTCCAAAGTGGGTCTCATAACGACAGTCTAGGGGTCCCACCAAGTACTTTCATAAGTCAAGTCAAATTTTTTTTATATAGCGCTTTTTACAACAGGTGTTGTCACAAAGCAGCTTTACAGAAAAAGATTTTGAATTTACTTCTCAAGCCCTGCTTACATTCAAAACGCATTGTACGGCTGCTAACAAATCTTTTCTGCGTTTTTGCAAGAGGTTGAGAAGTTAGACTAATATCTAACTAAAATTTTGATGTAATCTTATCGGCACTGCCCCTGTTTTTTTCAATGTTCAGTGTTTTCAATGTTCTATTTCTTAATGTACCTTTTAACTAATAACTGAATTTGATAGTAAAAGAAAAAGCAAATTGTTGCCAATGATGACACAACATTTAAAATACCTATTGTTAAAAACTTAAATTCATTCCATCCATTTAAGTTTTCTGTTTTAGCCACACCCCCTTTAGAATGCTCAGATATCAGAGAGGTCTTAGTACAGTCTGAGGTGTAACCCTGACATCCTACTACTGTGTGTGAAGTAGGATACAGGTAGGATTCATCATCCATAATGGATCATTGCTTTTTGTATGCTGGTGGGACCCTAAGTCGTAGAAGAATAAGTAGAAAAAATATTGCTGATGTCAAAACAAAAAAAGGATCTTCAAATTGGTAAATTTATATGAGAAGGAAAAACCATTCTAAATTAAAAAAAAAACTTATTGTTAAAAAGAGAATTTATTCCAAGTAATTTATAGAATTTACAAAAACACCTTGATTTTCTATTGTCTCTGAAAGATAAAAGCTTTCAGAGTAAGGCAGCAACAAACGACTAATTTGATAGTTTAATAATCTATAGATTAAACGAATAATCGATTATCCGGATTATGAATCACTACATTACCAAAATACTTTTATGTAGCTATTAGCTTTTAAATTTAGCTGGAGGTTGTTGTATGCATTTGCTAACTAACAATAAAGACAATAAAGAAGAATAACATTCAAGAATTCACTGTTTTAATAAACTTTCCTGCTAATACAAAAGATAAAAAAATAAAACTCCAATGTATTTTTTCCTGTCAAAGTTTATAACCAAGAATGTGCAAAGTAGCAGCAATAAAATAACAAAACTAAATCAGTTCTCCTTTAATCAAGTAAATAAAAAATCAATCTAAATTTAAATGTTATATTTAAACAGTGCAGTCTGTGCTCTGTGCATTCTGCTGTCTGTCTACACATTACTGCAACTAAATTCTACAATCATAGGTCTTCAATGAAATGGAGGGAGGTCAGCGTCTTCCCTCCATGCTCCTGTGAGAGTCTCGCTCTCCTCTGAGAGCAGATATTCCCCGCTGCAGAGGAGACGCGCTCTGATGGAGCGGATGGTAAAGTGGCGAACGTTTGTGGCAAACCTCCCTATGAACAGTTAAATTTGAACGATTTTGTGTAAACGCTTCATTTCAACGGTAAACCTCTGTCGAGCTACATTTTGTGTTTACGGACTATTTCCTTAAACTGTTAACGTTAACGAGTGGACGTCGACGTTAAGAAGACGATGCAGTGTTTAAAAGTGTAAACGTTATCTGGAAAGTGAACAGGGACACTGTAAATAATAGTTACTTGCTTTTCTGTTCCAACTCCATTAACGATACCAGAGAACGTGCATTTCGAAATAGAAAATGTTACAGCTCATAACATGAAGTAGGACGGAATTTAACGTTAACATCAGCTAACTAGCTAGCTCGCTAGCACAACTATCATGCGTCTCAAGCCACACACTACACTAATGAGTGAGCGCTATTTTTATACACTATTTAGTGTACTCGTATGCGATTTGGGATGCGGCGTATATTACCGAGACGAATCGTCTTCATCCAGTCAGCCGACAAGTTTCCTCTTCAGATGCTCGAACATGGAGGACGTGCTCCTGTGCCAGCTAAGCTCGGCTTTACAACTTTTTTTTACAGAATTTTTTTTTTCTGGGTTTAGTTCCCACACTTTTGAGGATTTTGTTCTTGAGGCTGCCATCGCGCTGTTGTTAGATACTCTCCAGTGAGTGGTAATGTCAAAAATTTCCTAGTGAGCGCGAGAAAGACGCGGAATAACGTCACCAACTAATCGACTACTAAATTAGTTGCCAGCTAATTTGGTCGTCGATTTTGGTCGACTAAGTCGAATAATCGTTGCACCCCTGTTTCAGAGACAGTAAAACGTCAGTTTTGGTTGCCTACCATTGTCTTGCACGGTTTCTCTATGTCTTGTAAAAAAAAAAAAAATTTACATTTTTGGAAATTCCAGTTTTTCACTTACAACCCCATTTCCAAAAGTTGGGCAAAGTGTAAGTGAAAATAAAATGCAATGATGTGCAAATTTAAACCCTATATTTATTAGACAATAGTACAAAGACAACATTTCAAGTGCTAAAACTGAGAAATGTTATTGTTTTTTGAAAAATATATGACCATTTTGAATCTGATGGCAGCAACACATTCCAAAAAAGTTGGGACGGGGCAACAAAAGACTAGTAAAGTTGTGTAATGCTAAAAAAAACACCTGGTGGTTAATTGACATCAGATCACTAACATCACTGGGTAGAAAAAGAGCATCCCAGAGAGGCTGAGTCTTTCAGAAGTTAAGATGGGGAGGGGTTCACTACTCTATGAAAGACTGCACAGGCAAATAGTGCAACAATTAAAGAACATTTCTCTATGTAAAATAGCAAATAACTTTGGCTTTTTTTTTGTCATCTACGGTACATAATAACATTAAAAGATTTAGACGATCTGGAGAATTGTTTGTATGCAAGGGACAAGGCCAAAAACCAGTACTGGCTAGCCAAGATCTTTGGGCCTTTTTGGTGGCACAGGAGTAAAACAGACATAATTATGTAGTGGAACTCACTGCATGGGCTCAGAAACACTTCTGAAAACCACTGTCTGTGAACACAGTTCATCACTGCATCCATAAACGCAAGTTATAACTCTAAAATGCAAAGAAGAAACCAGATATAAACAGGATCCAGAAATGCTGCCACCTTCTCTGGGCCTGAGCTCATTTGAGATGGACTGAATAAGTGGAAAAGTGTTCTGTGGTTCGACAAATCAAAATTTGAAATTCTTTTTGTAAATCATGGACACTGCATCCTCAGGGCTAAAGACCATCAGGCTTGTTATCAGCACACAGTTGAAAAGCCAGCATCTGTGATGGTGTAGGAGTGCATTAGTGCACATGGCATGGGTGACGTGCACATCTGTGAAGGCACCATTAAGGCTGAACGATATATACAGGTTTTGGTAACATATGGTGCCATTCAGACGATGTCTTTATCAAGGAAGTCCCTGCTTATTTTAGCAAGACAACGTCAAACCACATTCTCCACATATTACAACAGCATGGCTCTATAGTATAAAAATTCGGGTGCTAAGCTGACCTGCCTGCAGTCCAGACCTGTCACCCACTGAAAACATATGGGACTTTATGAAACGAGAAATACGACAAAGGAACTGTTGAGCAGCTGAAATCCTATATCAAGTAAGAATGGGAAAACATTTCATTTTTAAACTACAGCAGTTGGTCTCCTCAGTTCCCAAATGCTTACAGAGTGTGGTTAAAAGAATAGGTGATGTAGTACAGTGGTAAACATGCCCCTGTCCCAACTTTTTTGGAATGTGTTGCTGCCATCAAATTCAAAATGAGCATATATTTTTCAAAAACAGTAAAATTTAACAGTTTTAGCATTTGACATGTTGTCATTGTACTATTTTCAAATAAATATAGGGTTTAAATAATTTGCACATTATTACATTTTGTTTTCATTTACATTTTGCACAGCATCCCACCTGTTTTGGAAATGGGGTTGTATTTTTCATTTGACTTTCCCCTTCTATTCTTCAGACATATCTCCTGAAAACAAATACCCTAATGGCCATTTTGACTTGAAATTAAATAAAATGAAAAAAGTGCTTTTAATTACTTGCATTAATACAGAATTCAACTAATGTGTCTGAGCTTGTATGTGTATGCAGAATACTGTATAGTGGCTTTGGATGTGGCTCAGCTGATCAGATTTTCAGTCCACATCTGTTTTATAGAAGCAGTATTTGGGGAGCTTGGTTCTCTTTGTGATTGTGTTTATAATATTTCTTCCTTTTTTAATCTTCTCATTATAGCGACTGGTTCAAACTGGATTGAAAATGTAAGATAAGTCACTTTTTAGCCACCTTTTTTATGTCTCCATTCTTAAACCGACCCATAATGCAGTACCTCCTCCCTCTCATTCATCTCTCTGTAATATCCTCAGAATTAGCAGCTAAAAAACTCTTTTTTACCCCTTATGCTTGCTCTGTTTGTTTGTCTCTTTTTCTCTTCAGTGAGGGTTCTAAGCCCCCTGTGTGCAGGTATGGGCTCTCAACCCCTAGCTCTAACCCTCTGCCTTACCTGCTAATCTCCGTAGTGTGATGTAGAAACAGAATTACTAAATAAACCTAATCTAGCCTCTTTCTGGAGTTTTCTGTCTGGCTAGAATCAGCTCTAGTTCACTTCAACTCATTAAGGAAATTAAGTCCATGTAATGATTTGTCAATTGATGTTATTCATTAGGGTTGTAATGATACACACAGTCCTCAATTCAATTCAGTTTACTGGGCACTGGGCTAACATTTCAGTATTCTCACAAAATTCTGAAATAAAATTGAATGAATATTTTTTTTTACGGTAATCATGCTGCATAACTTACTAACTTAACTAAAGCTGGAGGGCAGGATGCAGGCTAAAATAGGTTGTTAATTGGCACTGATCATTCGCAAACAATGCAGTTGCAATAGATGGCATAATCCACCACGATGCATTATCACTTCTCCACAATGAGTGTTGTTACAATTTTGCATTCAATATCATGAAATCTCAATGCATTGTAACACCAGTACTATTTAGAGTTAGTTGAATTGGTTTAGTGTATAGCTGCATGGTACATGATACACTGCTGATCAACATTTGGGGACACCTGGCCATATTTTGAAATTTGAAAGTTCTCACTTTCATTTTGCAATTAGGTAGCTAAGCAATTTCGCTAAATGATAGGTGGGCTGGTGGGAGGGGAGGTGAAACATAATAATATTGGTTAGTATTTCCCTGCCTGCTGGTGCACAGTGATATAATCAGTAGACACAAACTCAGAAGATGTTTTTGATGCAGGTAAAAAACCTACATTTTTAAAAAGAATTATGGTAAAGTAAGAATTTTGTGTTTTAAATGATGAGATCTCATGAATTGTGCTTAACATGACAGGGACAGGAATGACCAAGAAAAGAAAGGTTAGCTTGGATCCCAGCTTGAACTTAAATTTTGAATGAACACTATTGATTTGTCTTCCTTGATATGAAGAGTGGGGTTTCCTTTTGTTAAACTGTTGTTAAAAGCACAAATTGAAAATGTTCTGCACCAAAGGTTTATGTATCTGAAAGGTTTGGGTGCTGATGAGTGTTGACACCGTAACAAGGGGATGAGGTATGTGGGTGAAGGTAATACTGTCATAGTTATGTACACGTGTTATTGTTTTCCTCATGATAATCCTAGCAAGTTAGGTTACAGCAAAGCGATAAAGAAAACATGCTCATTTGTGTTAAAACATTTTGAAAAGCTAGGTGTCTCTAAATGCTTAATGGGCATTGTGTATGACTGTGACTATGGCAAGTGATATGCAATTGATATGTAAGTATAGCTTTCCTGACAGTGTATCTTCTTTTTAGGTCTCAGTCAAAGGCTACACTCAAAGAGCAGGACAGTACCCCTTCAGGTCTGTTTTATATGTTTGTGTATGGGAGTATAGACATTCATTAAAAGTAAACGAATGTGTACCAGCAAGCCGTGGGTAATGTTTTAATGCTGCTTTGGGTTAACTCAGGTGTCGAGGTGGTTCCAACAGAAGTCAATACAGATATCACTGGGACTGTGCCTTCTGCAACTCTGACTGAAGTTGTCTCAGAATCTGTTGTGGAAATTACTACACAAACTCCATCTGGTGTCACATTAACAGGAGAAGAGAGTGAGGTTGGTAATGGGCAAGACTGAGTTTGCTACACACTAGTATACTGGTATTTTAAATTTTGAGCCTCAGGAAAAAAGGCAGAAAATATACATTTAGAAGAAAATTACAAAGAAGCATCCACAACTAAAAATAATATTTTTTCAGTATTCAGTATATCTGCTCTCCAGAGACTTGCTTTCAGTTTGTCAAATAAATCTACAGGATATTTTCCATGCTTCTTCAGTCTTAGAAGCTTTCTGCTTCTCATGATCCAACTTATTCAAGGACTGAGCTCTGGGGTGGCCAGTTCACTGTTCTGAGAACATCAGAAGCTTCTCTGTTTGATAAGTATATGTTGATCTCCCTGTAGTGTACATGGGGTTGGTGTCTTGCTGTAGTAATAATTTCTTCCCTATTAAATGTTTTCCTGAGGGTTTGCATGATGTATTACAATTTGTTTATACTTAGCAGAATTAATGATGTCTTCAATAAGAAACAAACTCCAGATGTTTTTATGCATCTCCAAACTTGCATTAATCCTCCACTTGCACTCATCTACTTTTAACTTACAAACCATTTTGACTGGATATTAAATAAACGAAAGGGTGGTCTCTGACTTATACACAGCACTGTATAACAAATAATCAAGACATAAATTAACAGATCATCTCTATCATAAGAAAACATTATATCTCTGAAACCGTAAATTTACAGAAGAAAGGAAAAATAATCTCAACACTGTTAATGTTAATGTAACAAAAAATTATTTTTATATGTCAGTAAAGATATTAATTTAAAGAAGTGATTAACATGTTTGTGCTAACCCCTTATTTTTCAGTTGTTAATCTTAAGACTTTAAGAGTCAGTCAGTAATGTGAATTATTGACTTACTACTATGAAACTAATATGTAAGATAAGTAGTTATGAGAGTGGGAAATTAAATTCTGGACCCACATACTTACTTTTGTAGTTCAAGTGGTGAGTTGTTAGTGTTTGTGACACTGAAAAAAGTCTTTGAAAAAAGTCTTTCAATTCTTGTGTTATGTGCATGTATATGTGTGTGTTTGTGGCTGCAGATCAATAATGAGATTGAGTTGGAGACTGCTGCTGTGCCGGGCCATCTGCTGGCAGAACAAAGAGTGGAGCTCACTGGGCTGCTGACTGGAGAGCCGTGGAGTGAAGAGCTCTCTGACCCCACCAGTAACCAATATCGCACACTCACTCAGCTATTTAGCCAGAAGGTAAGGTGTACAATCACACACACCTCACCCACACTCACTCACTCAGGCAACTGAATGAATGAAACTGTACACATACTTCTTTTGTACTGCAGCTCATCTCTCATCATGTGCTGTGTGCAGATTTCGGATGCACTGCAGAAGTTGCCTGAATACAAGAGTGTATCTGTACTGGAGTTCAGGTGTGTAAGTGCTGTGTTTTTTTTTGTTTTTTATTTTTTTTGGACAAAGAAATCACACATCATACTGCAGATATTTTGTTTAGTATCCAGTTAGCACACATATGTACTCCTTTTATGACTGCTTTCCAGTCTCTTGTGTAACATTGTATTCATTCTGTTTGTTATTAAATTTTACTTATTATTTTTTTTTCTGCAGGCCTCAAACTGGTGCTTCAGGGTGAGTCAGGAGCTTTTCTGGCCTTTGTTACTTGATCACCGTCATACATTTTTATTTGTCTTTAACATGTCTGTTCATCTGAACATCACAACTCTGCATACTGTATGCACACCAGCAATCAAGTTTGGAATCACTGTTTTAATAACAAAACCAATTTTGCTGCTGATACATACATATAATGACTCTAATGTGATGCTAACCCTTTACAACTTCACAGGTTTCAACTATAAACAATTACTAAATGTTTTATGTGTCCAGAATGATGAACAGAGCTGTAGATGACAAAATGACTAAGAAAGCTGTAAAGCATCAAGAATGAATTCATAATAAAATGGCATAAGGCAGGTTTACCTGGACAAAAATAGATTGTGAATAGACAATACAGTATATTGTTTACATTAAAATAACTTATTGGTGTTCCCAATAATATTGATTAAACAATTTAAAAATACCTATTGGTGTCAACTTTATAATTCTTAAATCTGTATTGTATCTACAAGCTATTACTGTATATAAAATCACATGACAGATGATTCCAGACTTTTGACTGCAGTGTACAGTACTGTGCAAAAGTCATAGGCATCTAAGTAAATTCTTTAAAATAATTTATCTGGGCAGTAAGTTTGTTCGTGCTTGAGAAAAACACGAAAGAACATGAACATAAATATAAATAAACATAAACACAGTAAAACAGAACAAGAATGTAATGTTTTCCAAAAAGTAGTTGATTTTTTGTGAGCTAATTAGAAGGATAAGTTTGATTCAGGACGTCCGATCATCTCCCCCAGCCATTGCATAGATATGTTACATTTCACCACCAGCACACTTGATTTAATTTAATGAAGCATTAATTAACTCAATCACGTACTGGATGATAACTACAAATAATACCAGGCTGCCACAAAGAGAGATTTGGAAATGCTTAAGGGAGCACATTGACATACATAAGATCACTTCTCTTTGTGTTAATATTATTTGCATTTATTATAATATTAGTGTTTTGAGCAAATAACCCTTACTGCCCAGTTAAACAGCTATTTAAATGTAATTTCCTCAGGTGCTTAAAAACTTTTTCACAGTACTGTAATTTTATGTATAATATGATGAACAGGCTCATGATTGTGTATGCATGTGTGTGTATTGCTATTAGTGTAATTACACCTTAAGTGGGATAATAGCTATGGGTTGCCAGATTGCGTGGATTCCAGCTTCTACAGGATTATCCTCTGAGCCTTATCACTATAGCAATCCTGACATTTACCTCTTATGGCCTGGTTCACATTTTGGCACTGGTGATATCACGTGGATGAGTGCTTGTATGGGTATTTGGATGTATAAATGTATAAATCAATGGATATCTCCTGAAACTTAATGACAGAATTAATAAAAGGAGTGAATTTATATTACCTATGCTGTGCATGAATTATTTTTTTTATTGGGATTTAGATCCCGTAGTGTTCCACCACTGAGGTGTGTAGAATGTGAGTGTGGTAAAATCTAATATATGAAGATGAATGACCTGATAGATCACAACTAGAGAGCTGATGAGCAGTATGGATGCAATGTCAGTGCAGTATATTGAGGAAAGATACATAAACATACTTGTATTCTTTTCCATAGTGATGAGGCAGTACTGGTGCAGTATGCAGTGACTCTGCAGACAAGCGGTCAGGAGGTCAGCAGTGAGACTCTGGATTTCATCAATCTGCAGTCCAACATGGTTGAGGGCACTTTCAGTGACTCAGAGAAACCCACTGTTGTATACACCCTCACTGACCTGCGTGCCTACATTACAGACACCTTGCTTGGTACACCTCTGTACTCAGTAACACTGGTCTATCATCTATAGAGGATTTCATAGGTTAACAATTGTGTACTAGAATGGTCTAATTTGGATTTACTGTTTACAGTGGAAACATATCCAGAGAGAGATCAACCTACAAACCTACAGCCTGAGATGATTGTAAGTTAAGATTTTTACATGGTGACATATACTACCTGTCAAAGATTTGCAGACATGGTGCCTTCTTTTGAATGTTTCTGGTTAATGTTTGATTTAATTATTCAATTAAATCATGGGGGTATTGATGGGTAGTGATATACAGTATATTAAGGACCTTGCTTTTTTGTTTAGGAGGAGATACTTGCAGCAGAAAAAACTGATTTGCTTGAAGAGGAAGCAAGGAAAGAGCTTACAAAAGACAACTTGCTGATAGACATCACCACGTCACAGGAGGAAAATGTGGGAGCGAATAATGGGGTCATTTTAGAGGAGAACACTACACAACCACCTCTCACTGAGCAGCCCAGCACAGGTTCCTCAGAAGGTGACACTCATGTACACAGTTATGTTTTCTGATATGGTTGCTACATACTTTTGTAGACATACTTTTTTTGTGTGTTTAGATATAGAGGTGCAGGAAGAATTGCTGTTAAACAGTGCTGTGGAAACCAGCGCTACTCCATCTGTAGGCTCCACCCAAGCTGCTGATGTCTCTTGCTTGGAACCTGCTTCTGGTTCTGGGGCAGGGGAGGATGATGGGAAATCAGTTAGAGAGCCAGGTGGAGTGACAGATGAAGATACAGTTTTGACTGAAATGCCGGTAGAGGATTATGAGCTCTTCACCATCACCACCTTGACAGAATCTATGGAAGGGGATCCGACATCATCTAAAGAAGAACTGACATCACCTGCCCTGGTGACTACAGAGACTGCAGAAACTATAGAGATACAGATTAGTGATACCTATGCACATGTAGAGCCATCTGTGATAGTAGATAGAACTCCATCACCTGATCAGGCAGTGGAGGAGCTTGTGACCACTTTGAAAACAGAGGAGGAAACAGGAGGAGTTACAGAGGTTCCTACAGAAACAGACATTGGAGTCAAGGAAGAAATAGAGGTCCCTATAGTGACAGAGGTGGACATTACTGTAGCAACAGAGAACAAAGCTGTGGCTCCAACAGTAAAAGACAAAGAAACAGAAAAGGCTGAAGAAGAGGGAGATGCTGACATTATGGTAGAGAAAGGTGAGGATAAGGTTGCTGTGGAAACAGATACTCCGGCTGTTGAGATCCCAGAGGAGGATCTCACAGAAGACGATATCCTTCTGGTCACCATAGAACCCATCAGGCCTGCCCATCCCACACGTCTCTCACCAGAGAAAGAGTCACCCTTCACTCTCATTACCAAGATAACGCAAGTGGAGTCTGAGCCCAACCTGCCCTCTGATATCACAGTATCTGAGCAAGACCTTCATGTTATTGGAAATGATGAAGGTAGTGGGGTCACTGCTGTTGCCCAGGGTGACGACCAGGCCAGTGTTGCCATGCCCCCTGGCCGTGCTCTGATGGTGTTCTTCAGTCTGCGGGTGACCAACATGATATTCTCAGAAGATCTGTTCAATAAGAGTTCTCCAGAGTACAAGGCCCTGGAGCAGAGGTTTCTAGAGCTGGTAATAAACCTCTTGTACTATTATTACTACTTCATTTACTAGTGCAGCTAGTACTTTGTGCTATTGTAATAAAATTTGTATATCAGATACGGTAACTTTACAGGAGAAAGAAAAAAAACATTCTTGACTTCTAGTCTAAATTAATTTAAGATTTTATTTCAAGTACCTTTGGACCATTTGTATTGGTTCATTCATCATGAAATGTTTACACAATGTAAAGAGGAGCTGGTATTAATAACAGAATAAAACAATGGAGTTATAAGATTTTGATACAAAAATGGCATTTTTTCTTCTTCCTCCATCTACTTTTTCTTCTTTACTTTCTCCTATTTTCTTTCTCCTGCTAACTTTGTATAATAACCCAATAATCTCTTTTTTGTGTATGTGCTAAATTTTCATACTCTCCAAGTCTCTATGTAATATTTTATGTAATTTGTTTTCTTCAGCTGGTGCCATACTTACAGTCGAACCTCAGTAACTTTGAGAATCTAGAGATACTGAACTTCAGGAATGGCAGCATTGTGGTGAACAGTCGCATGAAGTTTGGGAAGCCAGTGCCTCGGGGAGTCACCACAGCTGTCTATCTGATCCTGGAGGACTTCTGCAACACAGCTTACCAGACCATGAACCTTGCCATAGACAAATACTCACTAGATGTGGAGTCAGGTAGTGTTGGCACCCAAATGCAGATAATATTCAAATATACTGTTTAGTCAGATAGTACTGAATCATATCTACTCACAAACTTGATTATGCTGCCATAAGTGTTTGAAGTATGATTAAGCCAGTCAAACAGCCAGGAAGAACTACTTAGTTACATATAACAATGGCACCTTTGACATTGACCAAATCCAAGCCCTTACCTATTTTCTAAGCCATCCACTGCTCAGCAACTGTTGATATCTGCCGTTACCACAATCAAGTTTTCAGGTAGTCAGCAGTGTGCCATCATTTCACATGAATGTATTTTGAATTTGAGGTTCCAGATGTGGTCAAAAGATAGAGAGACACATCTTTCTAAAAGATACCCTGATAGTTTTTACCCTCGGCTAGATCCAAAAGCAAATAAAAAAGAATATTAACTTTGGATTTGTCTGTGCAGTAATCCTCAATTTTAGTTAGCTGAACACACACACTGTAATCAACAACACTAATGTATGTCATTTCATTCATTTCAGCAGAGTTGGTACCATCTTGATAGGAGGTTTAGGCTGTAGGTCACTTTGTTTTTATTGTAGTTAGAGTCACATAGAGAGGTAGGAAATTCTCCCATTAGATGCCAGAAACCAGCAGACAGTTATAGGAGATGCCTATTTAAAGTTGTTTCTGTCAAAAGAGGTAATAGCAGTTACTAAAGTCAAGGGTGTACTTATTTTTCACCAGAGAAAGTCATCTCAGTTAATTTATTATTAAATAAATGATAGCAAATTAAATTTCCATTGTTTTTTTGTTCTATTATGTAGCATTTATCTATGCATACTGTTTAGCTGATGATCAAATACTGATATGCCCACATATGTCAAAAACAAAAAACTATCATTTTACGGATTGTACTTTTTCACATCACTGTAGGCTAACAGCTTGCACCCTTTTGCATTGTGCAGTCATGTTTTTGTTATATTGGCTGCTGTATTTGGCTTTGAATAGGAAACAGGCAGGCTCTCCCTAAACTGGCTCTTACCAAATCTCACTATATGGAAGAGATGATAAAGTTGACTTGACTGCTGAATGCATTGTTGATTAATTTAAATGGACAATTTGAAAAAATCTAAACTTTTCTGAACTCATTAAATGTAACTAGTTTGAATTAGTTGGGGCCCTCATGCCAGTTTAGCCATTATATCATAGTGATACTGGTTCCGTGAGGATTACATCAGCTGAATTTGCCTGGGGGCACCCAGTCCAAAAACTTTGCACACTCTTTGTTGATAAAAGTCCCTTACATTGATCAGTTTTTAACTATTGACATACTCTTAAATTAACACCTCTAATTCAGTTCATCAAACTGTCCTGGAGCATCTGAATATGGAAATCAGATGGATATGATTAGAGCTGCAATAAAACTGAAGGAGAATCACATGGAGCAAAATAAGTTAGTTGTACATTGTTGCTTTAGACATTTAGTCAAAACCTTTTATTTTGTATTATTTAACATTACTGCCTCTGAGACCGATGTCCTAAGGTTTTTGTGCTAGTTTCAGGTGCAGATCAGGTTCATTCTGCCTTTGTGCTGTGTACAAAACTGGAAGTGACTTTTGTGCATGGAAAAATTCAAAATGCGCTTCTCTGCCCTTATGCATTTTGAGAGAGGATTGCGCGAAACATAGGAAGATAAAAAAGGAGCAGCTAATGGCAGCAAGTTTTACATAGATTTTTTGCACCTTTTAAAATCAGGCATAAAATAAAAGATGTGTTGATGGGAGATTCTAATGTGCCTTTGTGTGTTTTTATTTACTGCATTTTTAGGTGATCAGGCTGACCCGTGTAAGTTCCAGGCATGTAATGAGTTTGCAGAGTGCACAGTGAACCGCTGGTCCGGTGAGGCAGAGTGTGTTTGTAATGCAGGTTACTTCAGTGTAGACGGCCTGCCCTGCCAGAGCATCTGTGATGTCCAGCCCGATTTCTGCATGAACGATGGCAAGTGTGACATCATCCCGAGACAGGGAGCCATTTGCCGGTGTGTATGTATGCGCAATGACGCATGTTGTTTATTTGTAGTTGATAGATGAGTACCAGCATTTATGTGTTTCTGTTTGCTGGTGGTGTGTTTGTGTGATCTTGTGTGTGTGAAATTTTCAGTCCTGTGGACTGGTAGTTGATAGAAATTGTATTTGTTGAGGGACAAGATAATTGTATATAATAATTATCTAAGAGTTTATTGCCAGGATAAATGTTTTTAATGTACTTATGTGCTAAAGGCAGCATAATACTGTATATCTAGTGATTATTTTATTATATATATTTGTTGTAGGTGTCGGGTAGGGGAGAATTGGTGGTACAGAGGGGAGCACTGTGAGGAGTATGTGTCCGAGCCACTGGTGGTGGGCATTGCAATAGCGTCAGTGGCCGGCTTCCTGCTAGTCGCTTCAGGTGTCATCTTCTTTTTAGCCCGGGCACTGAGAGACCAGTACGACAAGGAAGAAACAGAGGACCCAATACGGTAATAAACAAACTTAATAGTAGCATACATTAGAGTTAACGCCATGATGCACGTGACCTATGCTCATCATAGATACAGAATCTGGTCAAAATTAAATTTTATTCAATTATATTTTATAACAGTTAACAAATATTAATTTAATATTTTAAATAAATACAAATTATAGGTTCTCACTTAGTAGAACCTTAAAGGAGCAGTATGCCCCTTCTCTGCTCCCTCTCCTTACCATTCTAGAAGAATTGTTACAAGTTCAGTGTCAAACCTCATCCTTTTCTCGACAGTGCCACTGTTAACTCTTGTTTGCTTATAATTATATTGCTTCTTTTCGTTGCTACTGAACGTGGTTTCTTACTGGGAGCAGGCGGCAGTGGTGACAAGGGTCAGCCATCGTTGCATTTACTGGTTGTTTCACTGGCTTCCTGTCATGGTGGTGCCTTCAACATGATTAACAAGAAGTTAGAGTAGGCCCTCAGGGCAGTGCTACTTCTTCATCTTCTTATGTTAGACTGATTGCAGACTTGATGCTACAGTAACTCACTATCACCTCTTGAGGTACAAAGTGGTATTACAAGACAGGACTGGCTGGGACTAGCTGGTTAGCATACTAACCTTAGTAGATATCTCTAACACGATATGTAGACGTCTTTGACGTAACATCAAAACTTAGAATTTTAGGTGATTTTGGAATGTTTTAAACTAAAAATCATACAAATAGCACCTTTAAGGCTGAAGCTTTATAATTAGCTCAATATTAGCTTTATAATAAGTGCTCAAATGTGCCATAATCTTGTTTCTCCTACAGAGGTCTTAGACCGTAGAGCTGTTTGTGTCTAGGTGGGTTAGATCCACCCACACCTCATTGAACTCAGCTGATTACCAAGCCCTTTAAGAGTTAGTTTACATATACTTAAGAAGGAAAAACACTGAACTTTGCAGTGCTGTGCTCCAAGACTGAAGTGAGACATGTCTGGTTTAGCAGGTCATTAAAGCAGAATAACTAGCAGGCCAATTTAGCTGAATTATAGAAGAACAAGTTCTCTCAGTTTTAGTTTTAGTCAGTTATTAATTATTACTGGGCTGTAAAATTTCATTGTAGCTAATTACAGCATTAAAGCTATTGTTTATCCAAAATTCTAAATTACACAATTCTTCACAGCCACCTAATGTAGTCTGATTCTTTAATTTTGCACTGGAGCAACATGGCTAAAAGAAGCATACAGACACATCATCTATATTGATTACATTTAGATACGTGTACATTTGACAGAGCCATTGCTTCAAGCGTAATGACACTAAGTACATTTATCTGTCAACTAGGATGACTTTTAGGTCAAAGTCTATTTATGCCACAGCCTTTCACATGCAGTGGAGTTCACAGTGCAGTCATGACCCCTGTAGACCTGTGTGTCTTCACATAGGAGAGGAGACAGTATTCCTTCTCTGGAGAGGGCCACCAAGTATAATCCCATGTATGAGAGTGATGCGACGACAGGCTATAGCCACTACTACCGCCGTTATCCTGAGCCCCCAATCCACAGCAGCGCAAGCGCTGAGGCTTCTACAGACTTCAGCAGTGAGGAGATACGTCACATCTATGAGAACAGTGAACTCACTAAGGAGGTACTGTACTGTGTGTGTGTGAGAGACTGTGTCAAGATGATGTCTGTAGTGCTATTCAGATTGGATGTTTTTCCAGACAGTGCAGTAAAATTTGTGCCGTAATGTTACCACAGGATTACTCTCAGCCTGCCAGATGCTCCATCTAGGTGTGGGTGGAGCATCTGGCATCTATAATAGGCCACAACTATAGGAATTTTTTCAGTTGCATTCTGATTGTGACCTGTACGTCCACGTGAATGCACTTCAGTGTAGCGGATTTTATCAGTCCAACAGGAAGCAAACTAATGAGCAGCTGCCTGCTCTTCACATGATGACAGAGCAATGTAGCTAGAGGATTGTAAGAAAGTTTGTAAAGTTCACAGCATTGTTTGCAGTTTTCTTGGAAGCATTCAGTAGATTTTAAGAGAGATATCCTTGTGCACTTTCCATTGCATACTGACATTGGCTGCCCCTACTCATCACACAAAAACAACAGTCTGTGATTGGTTATTTTGCATGTCCATCAAAGGGCCTTTTCTTGTCAAGTAGGTGGTTCTTGGCTTTTTTGTTAATGGGATAGGCAGAAGTCTGCCACAGGTTTCCACTAGATAAGAGAAGTCTTATAAATTAAAGATGCAGGAGATTTGTACTCAATTTACACATTCACTGCATTTAAAAAGCAGGCCTGTGTTCATATAACTTGGGCTTGACACCATCCATGAAATGCTTGTAGGCTATGGCTTACCTATGCTACTGTACCTAAAAGAAACATCCCTCCTCTGACAAGTCCTTTTGAATGTCAGTGTTCAGCGTTGTATGCTTTAGGCCATGGTACACATTAGGCCTTAGGAAATGACAAAATATTTACTAACAGGAGTAATGCACAACTTCTAGCCTATTTCTATAGTTCTACACTTCATTTTATAGTAAGTAAGCGCTGCTGTAATCTTTACAGATGCAGTCAGTCAGATGATTTTAGTCCAATGGGAGTAAAATCACAGAGACTCTGGTAGTAATTCCATTACCGCACCTGAGTATGTATAACTAATCCTGTCTGAATTGTACTTGCAGTGTATTTCAGATTTGCTGTTTCATCTCTGATATTTCTTTCTGTCTGCAGGAGATTCAGGACCGGATTCGCATCATTGAGCTGTATGCAAAAGATCGTCAGTTTGCTGACTTTGTAAGACAACATCAGGCGTGAGTATAGTATTTGTTACCTGTGTGACTACTGGGGAACCCACTTTCTCTTTTGCTTTACTAGCTAGTTTCACTTTGTTGTCTTTGTGTGTGTGTTTCCAGGGCACTAGATACACGGAGGGATAGTTCATCTACATAAAGTAGCCTCGCACTACGTAGCCTGGTGCATACAACAAGGTATTAGACACACACACACACACACACACACACACACGCACACACACACACACACACACACACAAAAATAGCACCACGAGTCAGCAGTATTGACTATTCTATCAGTGGCAAGTTGTTTGTTAATTCAGCATATTACCATTACAGTAGTTGAAATGGATCTTTATTGCTATTTCAGGAACATGTCTCGTCTTTGGAAAATGCCATTTGAATGATTGATTACTAAAATACTGTGGGATCAGTGTGCTTGAAGAACATTTATGACTGCAATCTTCTACTTTCCACAAGGGACTTTGCCATTGCTTTTTAAAATGGCTTTCTACTTTCTATAAGAAAGATTTTTCTCCTGTCATGGCTGTTCTACTCAAAGCCAAAACACAGTTCTCTGTCCTAAATGATTGAACGAGATGCTTGTTTCCTCACTAGTGCCTTTTTGACTGTCTTTTAATGAGCTTTGTCTCTATTTCTCAGCCTATCATGAGCTGGAGTTCAAAGATACAGAAATCCTAAAGGTTACTTGAAACAAAGAATTTTTGATTATTTTAGTGTTTATAGCTAAGACTTAATTATGTCCTTTTCATATGTCATATAAACAGCGGTGAATATTTTGTTTTATGTATGAATTTCATTGCACTGTATTTTATGTTGTTCCTTTGTGAAACAAACTGTAGAGAGTTGATTATCTCGAGTCTTGCTGGACTGCTGGATCTCTTGATGGGAAGAGATTATTTCAGTCTTTAATAGCTTTGCTGAATCTGAGGTGCTACATGGTTTCAGTTTCTTACATGCTGTCAAACAGGGCCAAAAGAGATAAATCTGGTAAACTATTACTCGCCGACCTTAATTTTTAATTTTATCTGGCAGCTGTTTTCTAAAATTATTACAACCAAATTGTTCATCGAAAGGATATCAAGTGAAAGCAAGAAGGAATGTAAGAGAAAAAGGAAATTTTTCTCTTTTATGCTGTATTTATCCCTAGATTTATCTGTATTACATCCAGCCAGATTTATATTCATGAGCCTTTTGCAGACACACCCAAAAGTAATGCAGCAGCTGGAAAGAGCATGTACTACAGCTAAGATAAAGGTCAAACTCTGACAACTGAAATACACCACAAAACCCATTTGAAACTCTTGTTGACCCTAACTTGACCATAACAGTGCTTCTCAAAGCTGATTTTTATGGTAGCTCTGCCATTTGGAAACCTCTTGTAACCAAAGCCTTGTAACTTGGTGTAATGAGAGCAAAACATGGACCTTGGAGTAATGGAAGAAAGTAATATGTGAGTCATCTTATGCTTTTTTTGCATGAATGTTTTTCTTTTAAGGAAGGCTTCAGCCCAGGTTTTCTTTTTGAAAAATGATCCAGAGTCCCATTAGAAATTGTTCAGAATGTGTTTAACAGCATTTCAAGAAGAACTGAGGCAGCTCTTCAAGACAAAATGCAGCCCAGCATATTATTGATGTATCCCTGTATAGCCTAGTGTTTGACTGTGTAAAAGGATTTTTGAATTTCACTGTTTTAGAATTTTGTAGATTTAGATACTGTGCAATATAGAGAACAGTGTTTCTCTGTCTTTTTTATATGTGAGTTAAGGTTACATATTTTTACAGTATTGAGTGTATATTCCATTTAACTTTTTTGGATAATATAAAGTATAAAACTGAGTAAAGACCAAATATAAATAAAGATGTTTTTCTACTGAACACTTAGAGATCTTTCATTTTAACTTTCAGTAAAATTAGTGTTTCTGTTCAGAAAATTGATGGCTGATATTTGGTAATGCAACAATATCAAATCTCTGACAACAATGCAACCACTAAAATATTCAAAGCATATGTTTATTAAGTGTCTGTGTTGGTAAACTGTAGGTCCTGGGGCAGAAAGCTTTGATGGTTCTGACTGGAGCTGTAATGGTGACTGGCACATTCTAAGGATGGACACAGACAGGCAGCTGTCTCAGCTTTCTTATTTAGCCCTGCTACAACTTTCTTGATGGATGCTGTGCAGTGTGTGAACATTTGGAGTCATATGGAAAGTGTCTAGTGTTTTGGGCAATCTGAATATTTGGAGGGAAGAATGTGTTTGTCCTTTAACAGTGAAGATGGTCAGCTTTCCACATAGTGGAACTAAATTAGGATTAAAGAAGCCTCACTGTAATTAGTCAAGGCAGAGATTACAGAGCGGATTACACAGCATTACCAGGAGTCTGTGGTAAACGTGTGTGTGGCTCCAGTCACACACACATAGAGCTGACTGATATTCACTGACAGCTCACCTCCCAGCACTCTCTATCCCAGCAACAGGAAGATCCCTGTGATATCATCACCTCCTAGTGGGACACACAATAGCTAATGATCACAGACCTATACTTTTCTGGATAAAGGACAAGAGTGAGGGATAGAAAGACAGTATGATGCACTCAAAAAACAAAGGTTCCTAAATGGCTCAGACTTATTGGTATAGAACCCTTACATTATGTGGAGTTTTGCTAAACTTCTTCTTCAGACTCCATTGAAAGGTTCTTTAGGGAACCAAAAGTGTTGTGTACGTGCAGTGCATAATAGAAAGCAAGTACTGTATGTTTTCTACAGTGTTCTAATGTGAGTGCCAGTATTTTTCTGATATGTTCCAATACAATGACTGTACAGAAGTCATTCAGAGGATGAAACTTGCTAATGCGAAACAGAAGCATAATCTTTTGTTTCTGTCAAGCCATAGTCCAGTCAAGGACAATGTGTTTGTGGTTTGCCAGGCAAAGGATAAGCCTATTGTTTAGGAAAGGCCGAAAGGCACACAGTATTAATAGCAATTTGCGTGCAGCTGAGGTTAAGATAACATGAACTCCCTGTGGAGCCTCTTATCATGGACAAGCCTGAATATAGGGCCCTGATTGGCTAAAAGGGACCACCTGCTTCACTCTCTTATTTCTCTCTCTCTCTTTCTCTTTCTCTGTCACCCTTTATCTGTATAGTCTGTGCTCTTGCTAGTCCGAGTCCTGGTCTAAACAAACTGCATATTTTAGTGAATTACACACCAGATTCAAATCATCAGCTAATTAAGAAGCCTTTAAAAAGGCCAAAATGGATCCAACATTTGTTCCTTCAAAAAACTTTCAGTTAATAGTTTTCTAAAGAGATATTTTACATATGAGATGAGTAAGCATAAAGTTTTAAAAAAAACCTCCACATAATGTAAAGATTCTATCCATCAAACCATATGGAGCTTTATTTTTAAGAGCTGTGTTAGAACAGGGAAAACACTGCAATATTGACATCCCATTGGTTTTGTAGCACATTACTGAATCCAAAGTCAAAGAAACACACAGTTCACTCACACCTCATACATGAAATGTAAAAGTTTACATTTTAATCTGTCATGTTACAATATTTATGTTTTTTGGAGATCTGCTCCTGAGCTGTAAAATCGACATCAAATGAGACAGCGCTGACAACTATCTGTAGCAGGCCATAACTATGTGGAGAAGGTGAACACAAACCTTTAAGAGACACGTGAAGTAAAAAAACTGCATGACAAAGTACCATATCGACATAAGACATAAGTGTACACAAGCCTTCTCAAGTGAGATTATTTGTAATGCAGTCAAGTAGAGAGAGGAGTTTCCTGGGGTTGCTCTATGAGTAAGTGGGGATAAATCTGCTCGCATCTGGCTTGAGGGTATGTTTGTGTAATGTTACTCTAACAGTCTTCCGGTCCAGCCAAAAGCCTTCACTCTTACATTTCTGGCATACTTAGTGATTTATTGCCCCCTTTGGCATCCCACCCCTGCACATTGCTGACAGCTGCAACTAGTCCTCACTTTCTGTCATTCTTGGATGGATACATTCACACCAAGTGTGACCAAAATCTTCAGTGACAAGCTGTCTGTAACCAAGGCTGGTGGATCTGTACAGGCAAACTAGGCAGTCATCTAGAACAGCTCTTGAGGGCAGCAAAATATACCTAATTATTCTGCCACCTATGGTAAACTTAATCACAGAGTATCATTATTATTACTGTAGACATGGATAACATTGCTCTTTTGGGCAAATGCTCTTATTTTTTGCACAGGCACTTTAACAGAGTGTCTTTACAAAGGACATGACACGTGGAGGGTGGACAAACACACACAGCTAACCCACCCTCCTAGGACACAACTCAATAAAAATAACTGCATCAACAACAACAATTGTCCCTTTTTACTCGGCCACACCCCGTAAGACCCCCCGTGGCAGCGCGGCCTATGGCGGACACCACACAGCCCCAGCCTCAAGGGTCAGCTGTCCCAGGAAACCATGCAGCCCGAACAAAGTCTCAGGGGCATACAGAGACCCATTCTGTCCACTATCCCGGCCAGCGGGTGCCCTCTCCTTGGCAGCAGATGCCCCCAGTCCTCTCTTGGGGCGTCCTCCGCATTGGTGTATGGGGCATGCGACTGTTGCAGTGGTCCTTCCTTTGCCATACCCTGGTCACAGCAATGCACATACAGCCCCACATCCATGTGGCAGACTGGCCAGTGGATCCTCTGCTGCAACCAGTTCAGCGTCTTTCCCACTCTGAAGTGACCTACACCAGCCAATGCATGCACCGAGCATCGATTTCCTCAGGCTACACAGCACCAGCAACTTCCACACACACTTTCCAGACTACTCCCACATGCATCTTGTTGTGCATCCAGAGGCTGTCCCAGCCGGCACATATCGCCGTGGTGGTGGGCCCATGAGTGGTGAGACTGTGAACCAGTGCCAGTGAAGGCAGTGAGCTGTTTCCCCTAGAGAGGGAAGTAAAACCAGTTTCTTAAACCGATGACACACACACAAAAAAAGACACCTTTCATACACTGCAGTCATTTAAATTTCTTTACAAATAAGAAAATACAAAGATGATTCAAGTTAAAATTTAACAAACATTCGAAGATATAAATTAAACATTTTGGAACACTGCAGTACCAAGTAAATCTGTGAAAAAACAGAACATGTCTATATTTGACTTTGTGAGCTATTAAGGTCTTTCTTCCTTAATTAAATAATACTGTTTTCAAATATACTCCTCTGTACGCTTCTACATTTTACTTTGTGCTGCAGAACTTTTTAGTCTGTTAACAGGAGTCCTACAGATGCTACCAGGTGGCCTCAGCTAAAAGCTTGACAGATGTAGCAACAGTAACTAAGAGAGGCAGGACTTGTCAGAATCTTTGCAGAATTTTAAGGGCTTTGATGAGCTAAATAAGGTTTATTAAATTACATTAAAACTAGTTCATTACATTAAACCATTTCATATTTCATATTTTAGTGCTATTCCTGCTATAACACATCTGATCCAACTAACAGTTAATAAGCTCTTAATGAGATAAAGTAGATGTGTTACAGCAGGGAAAACATTAGCGTGTGTAGTACAGAGGTACTGTATACTTTGTAACCATTGGTCTAATCCAAACATTTTTGTTGCCTAAGTCTATGTTTATTATTTGTTTATATTTAGTTTGTTTGTTTTTACACGTGTATCCTGTAAACACAACAAATTGTCTTCCTGAGCCAATCACAGCTGCACTATGAATTTTCATAATCCAATTACAACACTCAACACACACAACGGTGCACCCAGATGGGACAGTGCTTTCAGGTGCATTCCATATGGATCCATTTTCTGACAGGTCAGTCCATCCGAGCAGAGATAATTTGTTTAAGCATCTGGTTCAGTCCAAATTCATCCATAATATTCTTGCTGGAGAGCTTCAAAAACACAAGCGCTCGTGCCAGAATCTGTGGTCCAGTGCATGATTATGGTTTAGTGTAACTTTCTTAATTTTTTTCTTTTTCAGCTTCCTACCTGCTGCAGGTGTAATTAAAGCAATACATTTAGACCTGTCTTTGAAAAAGTCGGATAGTAAATAAAATACGTTGGCTAGTGTCCAGTGATCCCATGACCAGTTGTCCTACTGCCTAGAAGAGGTGAGCAGAGGTCATGCATTCACTTCTCACTCCTCTGTTTAATGCTGGTCTTGCAGTCTTGCAACAGTGCCAAGCTCTGAACATCTGTCTTAGAGACCGGCATGACAAACAAACAGTGAGGGAAGATGGATGGCCAACTGAGAAAAGAAGAGAGAGAAAACATCCATGTTTCCCCAAACAGCCTAAAACATGACTGTTAAAGCAGTGACTAACTCCAAGGACTGGAACCATACCAAGACATGGAAATGTTGGTGCAATAATGTCAAACAAAGCTCAAATCCATCATCAATAAGAATGGAGCCTGGTGACGATCTCTCATACTCGGCAGGGAAGTCCCTTCTGCAATATTGGTTTCATATGTTGAAGTCTTTTGGCCTCATCAACCCACTATTTAGTCTTATCCCAAGAACAAATGAAGATTATTTAAAACTTGTGTTAAACCTGAATCTTCCATAAGGAGGCTTATGAAGCTCATCTTTATGACTCATTTAGTGAAGTTGAAGAGTGTTGGTATGATCTTACTCTCCAGGAGGTTTTTCTTTTGAATTTTTCAAATCATCGTACTACGTGTTTTTTCAGTTGTTGTAGTTGCTGTTTTATTGTTGAGCATCTGCTATGTGTTCATGCTGTAAACACATCTGGGTGTGGAAAACTATGTTGTCTGAGGTTGAATTTGAAAACATTAGCTCTACTGTTTCAGGCTCAAATCCCAGTTGTGCCATGTGCTCCCTTTGGCTCAGGGTTCTCAAGAATGTGATGGACCATATTTTGCTTGGGGAAAAAATGATGGTGTATTTGTTTTTTTCTTATTTATACCACTGCAGTGACCATTAACATGACCATGTGGTAGTCAAGTGATCAGCGTTCATGCATAGGTGCTATAGTACTAGCATGAGGAAATTTGTGACCTCCCCAGCCACATGCAGAAATACTCTGCTGTCCTGCAGCTTCTCTCATGCGTGTGAGTGCAGGACCCTGGATTCCTCATATTTTTCAATTTCCCCTGTTCTAATGGAGAAAAGGAGACACTGCTGATTGTGCTGGAATCCAGATCACTTAAACATGATGTGCTAATCCAGGCTTCAGAGAAAGCAAATCTGAAACACCTACAGGCACCAGTCTTAGAGTACATGCAGCTGGCCTTCAAGTGTTCCTGATGGAATCTTCAAAACGACCAGGACAGTATGACGCAAAGACAATGTGTGTTAAATTGACCTTGACTGATTCTGAAGAGCATCTTTGTCTTTGTGGATTCGTTCAAACGTCTGACACTTGTCTCATGCACACACAGTTAGAAAAGTGGAACTTATTATTAAATGAATGGGATCAAAAAGAGGAAATGCTGGAGCAAATGACAAAAGAAGATGAGGAAAGAGGACAGAAAAAAGCAGAATGAAAAACACAAGGATCAAATGTTAAAGCTGAAGATCACAGAACTTTGATTGTCCAAATTGGTAAAGAAAATCTTGTCACAGTGGATTAAAAACAAAACATCTGTAGATTTAAATCTTCCTACATGCTTACTGAAGTCAGTCTTAATGATTGATCTATTCATCTGAATAGTTTTTAATGTCAATGGGATGACTGGGCCTTTAGTGCTATGACACCTTATCTCTAGTGCCAATGCCACTGATCAATATTAAATGTTTGATTAATACTGAATGTGACATTACATGACAACAGCATGTCGAAAGAGTTAAATGCATTCTTGGCTGAAATAAACACATGCATCCTGTTTGCATCCATGCACTGTTCCTTTCTTCTGACAGATATACCACAGACCTGTGGGACACTGGTGATCTGTCTTTTTCTTTCTTTTATCCCCTCATATTTATTTTTCTTTCATTACTTTTTTTTTTTTAGCAACAATAGCTTTGTTTTTAAACAACAAATAAAATCAAGATGATTTAAAAAAATGAATGAGTTTTATTTATTTATTAATTGAACTAGATCAATGGAAAGGAACAATTGAGAAAATATGGCATGTTCAAAGTACTGTTGGAAAATCGACCACAAATATAAACAAATACATCAAAAGCTATTTGGCAGATGCAATCAGCTGGAAATGGTTTTGTTGCTTTGTAGATTCTCTCAGTCACATGGATGCAATACTGTGGCCTAATGAACAGAATGCACTCTGTACAGTGATGGTCTAAATTCTATGCATAAACAGTCTTGGATGTTCTCATCAATTGTCTCTCTCTCTGTTCATATGTGAGTATCTTTAATAGTTAAACTACTGTGTGACTACGCTTTAAAGTCTGCTGAAGAAAATTAATTAATTAATTAATGCTGTGCTAGTGCATTTTATTGACTCCTTACTCTTTCATTGTAGATTACACAAATGATTAACTGAAGTAACTGAAGTAAATATCTTCATAGTAACACTTTATAAAAAAAACTTTGCCTCCACTGAGATGACATCGCACTATTCGCTGCACCTTACGCCTGGTGTGTGCAGCTGCAGAGCTGAGCCGCAAATTTCTTGAGCTGTCACAGGAGGTAGAAGTGCTGCTGGGCCTTCTTCATAACTGCAGTGCTGTGTCTTTCCCATTTGAGATCTTGCTGAATGGTGGTCCCCAAGAATTTATAAGACTGCTCTGCTGACTGTTGAGCCATGTATGTTCAGTGCATGCAGTGGGGTGGGTTTCTTTCTGGAATCAATGGTCATCTTCACAGTTATTTGTGTGTTTAACTCTTGTTAGCTCCACACCATAAACCAGGCGTGTTACTTCTTTCAAATACATGGACTCATCGTTGTTTGAGATGAGACCGACCAAAGTAAGTGTCAATCTTATTAAGTTTAACAGAGTCACTGTTGTTTCTCAGACTTGTTTATTCGAACATAAAACTCTATAGAGTCCAGTCAGAGGGACAGAGCTTGGGTGAAGCAGTAATCCTCCAGTCAATGAAACTTCTGGCATTAAACACTTCACTGAAAATCACACCCATATGTGATTAAGCAATTTTTTACATTTAATGTATTTCAGACAGTTCTTTCTATGGCTGACTGAAAATTTTCATAATCCTGTCTACATGACATTAAACTGGCCAAAGATGTGACTGATTAGGCAAAATTGGTAACAGGCATACTGAATGGTAAGGAGGAATGCCCGATCGCCAGTTACTAAAAGAACTGCAATGGAACAGTTTCTTTTTTTGCTTTTTTCATACCAGCTTAGGTAGGGCCTCAAATTTCTTTGCCTATGTGTATGTTTTTTGGGCCTGTTCCAATCTTGAAAATGATTTTTTTTGTCATTTTATTTCAATCTATTAGCTGTTATTCAGCTGTTCTGTTTACATTAACTTTATGATGACAACTCTCTTTGACTGACTCAAGTTTGCCGCAATATTTATGTTTCAATTTTGCTGGATAAAAGTTTATTTAAACATTAAAAGACAGGGTATATGTGGACATATACTGTATGGTTTATGATTTTTGTACCAATTTATGTACTTCAGATAAGCCCAAATTGAGACAAATCAATAGATACTCAAAATACAATATGTTTGTCATGCCAAATATATGGTTTGAATCATTGTCTTATTGTAATATCTGTCCTCTTTTCTTCTTCAGTTTCTTCATTGACTAGGGGACAGTAGCCTTCAGGTTTTTTTCAAAATGTTTGTTTTTATTTATTAGAACTGTTTATACCTAAATGTGTATGTCTGTCTGTCTGCCCTGTGATGGACTGGCGACATGTCCAGGGTGTATCCTGCCTTCCGCCCAATGAAAGCTGAGATAGGCTCCAGCACCCCACCACGACCCAGAAGGATGAGCGGTTTAGTTGATGTGTGTGTGTGTGTGTGTGTGTGTGTGTTTATACCTAACAGCTGGCAAAGTGATGTTTCATCGAATAAGTTTTGATTTTCTAAGTGAAAGGAAGTTAATACAATACGTGCATGGAATAAATTTTAATAATACATATTTCAAATTGTAATATACGGTTACCATTTGTTTGCAGAACTATTGTATGGAAAAAAAAAACTACAATAAAATGTGGCATGTACAAAGGTTTGGGCACCCTTTCAGCTGAGCAGAGATTTTTGGCCTTGCCCTTGACGCACAGAGATTTTGATGATATTGTGCATCATAGAGGGTAAAATACCTAAAATTCTTGCAATCACTTGTTGACGAACGTTGTTCTTAAACGTTGTTCTGTTGGATTATTTTCTTATGCATTTTTTTGTGGCAAGCCTCAACCTATCATAAAAGACTAGGTCTTTCTTGGATGCTCCTTGTTTCACCTGTTTAACATGTTTTTAAACCTATCACAGTGTTCCTAGTTTTAAATTGCCCCTGTCCAATCATTATTGGAATGTACTCCAGGCAAAAAACCCAATAAAATGTAAAATATTAAATTAAAAATTATTAAAAAAATCTTTGTACTGTTGGGTGAAGCAGTAAAACTATAAATCACTGCTTTCAGTTTTAATTTGCATTTCACATACAGGCCCTGACCTTTTTGTAACTGAAATTTGTATACAGCTTTGTGTAAACCTTGGTGGTTACATTTTTACATTTTCTTTTAAAAGAGTGAACACAAAATACTAAGAAGGATAATACAAAACACCATCATAGATGCAGAAATACTAAATTAGTGCTTTTCTCTAGAGAGTATTAGCATCTAATCAGTAAATTGCATGCAGTAGTGTTAAGTCACGCAATTCTGATGTACAGTAAATTCTACAAAAAAGTTGACAACACTTTGATTTATTACATTGTCACATGAAGTAACTGCTTCATGACTGTACTTATGTCACGGGTACTTCAAACATATTTTTAATTAAGCCCTACTAAAAAAAATCTCATGCCAGCTGTTTTGTAGGTGTAGTTTTCTTACCATTGTGAAAAAGTTAATATTACAGAAATTTCTATATGTTTCCTACAAGAATCTTGAATCTTAAATTCGGACATATCACTGGCATTACACAAATACTGTAGATTAGAGATTAGTGCTACATGAATGCTATGTCATCTGGAAATATTGTAGATTATTATGGAGGTACTATATATATATATACACATTATCAACTGAATTATATTAAGGAATAAAGTTAATTTTGTTCATTTAATTTTCTTAACCATGAATTCTCCAAGTAACTAATCAATGACCTAAAAATCGATTAAACATTAAATAAATCAGTTAATCAATAAATTGCCTGTGAGGTAAATGATAACCAGTGGCCTGATGAGTTTAATGGTAATTTCACCAAAAAATTTGTTAATGGGTGAACCAACAGGTCAATCAGTGAGTTCACTAATGAGTTAACTGATAAGTTGACTGATGAGCCAATTAGCTAATGATGAGCTTATCAGTGAGTTCACATATTAAGTTATCTGAGTAGTAGTTACCAATTATTTAACTAAAGCTAATCATATTCATCATAAAGTTAATGGGCTATCACAGATGAGTGAGCTGCTGAGTTAATCTATGACTTAACCAATGAGCTAATCAAAGTGTTAAATAATAATTTTTGAACTAAGAGGAAACTGATGAGCTAATTGTGTTAACCAGTCAGTTAATTATTGAACTAATAATCTAATCATTAATTTGTTATGGGCTAATTCATTGATTTATTAATAAGTAAATTATTTTATCAATTATGTGTTAATTAGTGGCCTAAACAATGTGCTATTAACATGTTGATAATGAGTTTGGAAGTGAGAATGATGAGTTAGTGTTACCATAATTACTTAAGTTAATCCAATACTCACTCATACCAAGCTCATACTGTACCAAGCAGACTTAGTACAAAAGGTGAAAATATTCTGCTAAAATGTTCAACAAAAATAAAGCTTTTATCACAGCTGTTCAAAAACTGTATACATTCAACTTCTTTCAGCAGGATAGAAAGTAGAAGGAACCAGGGTCACATTTTTGTTTTTCTAAAATCATAAAATATATGTTTATTTAACTGTCCTATAGGCACTACACATTAATGCCAGTGCAAAACCTTCAGGTTGCCTTAGCCCTTTTGGTTATATTGAATGCTAAAAGCCAAACTTGTTTTCTGTGTGAGTGGATCAGGGATCTCACTCCTCTAGTCTCTGGAAAGTTTAATGAACCATGATTTCATATTTAAGACAATGTTCTTCACAAAAATAAAGTTCAAGGCTGGAACAGTGGTTCAGAAAGCTGCTTAAGGGAAGAAAACAGAGAGAGAGAGACAAAGAGAGAGAGACAGAGAGAGAGAGAGACAGAGATACAGAGAGACAGAGAGACAGAGAGAGAATTCTGGGTCTATGAGTATTAGTGAAACCGAGAGAAAGTCAGGTCAAATTTTCACAACGTGTGACATCAACAGATCCCTCCCCCTAGTGATTGCACTATAGATGGTCTGGTCACAACCAAAACCTCTCAAAACTCCAGCACAATACACAGTCACAGTCTTTCCAGGACAAACATGCTCACTTCTTAATGCACACATTCTGCAAAGGAGAAAGACTATCAGAATTGTGTTGAAAGGAAAAGAGGCAAGAATCGGAGCCAAACAGACATTTACTGGATAAAAACAGAAGTGGACTTCAGCTGAAAACTTTAGTGACCCAACAAGTTGAGTGAAGTAGCCAATATGAGAGACTTTCTCCACATTTTCATCATCATCATCATCAGTGAGGTCCTACTTCTCAACTTTACCTGCGCATCCACACTCAGAGGTACAGCATTGTCTGTTATTTACTACTGATTGCAACTTTGCTTGACTTTAAAAATGTTTAAAATGTTTTGTCATTTAATGATGTTCTTGTGACCACAGGTAATGAGCAAAAACATACATTTACACACACATGTCAACATAGAAATTCAAATGATGGTTGTAAAAATGTGACTGTATTTAATAATGAGGTTCACATCATAATTGTGGCATATAATTAATGGAATTAGATTTTACTGCCTCAGATGTTGGCAATACAGTTTTACTCTGCTGATTCATTTACTTTAGTTGGCACAATAACCTACTGTTGTGCGCAACCTTATGTGGCAGATAGATGCTTGCTTTAAATAAACTAATTACGAACATGTAATGATATTGTCTTGCGTATCAGTACAAAATGGAACTGATTATTGTTGGATGTCACTTCAGTGTTCCCCACCCATCCACACTGGCTTGTGGTGCTGGAAAAAAGCTATTAATGAGAGAAAGCCTGTTTGTGTGTTTTTTAAGAATAGGTCATTGAAATGTAGCTGTTTCGTCAAACTGGTGTTGAAGAGTTAGGGCTCCCATGTTATCAGCTTTAGCCAGAGGAGACTGGACTAAATCTGAGCTCCTAAAAGATAAATGGCCTGATGTTATGTACATTGATGTTGTGTGGTCACTTGATTTTCCTGACTATGTTCACAAAAAGCTCTCTCTCTTTTTTGTGCAACAGACCAGTTATTAAGTGGGAATACTGTGCAAACTCTGCATTCACCTCCTTTGTTTCCTGTCTTTGTCAACAATACTGACCCTAGCTCAACATTCGCATTTCCAGATACAGATTAGCTTAGTCGTAATTATAATTAAGCCTAATTAGAAGTATGGAATGACTAGTCAAGGACATGCAGTTAAAAAATTAAATATCAAGTAAATTTAAATTCAGATTTGTAGCTTTCCAAATTAATGCAAGCTTTATTAAGATCCTGTATGGGAACATTATCTTTTGCTGGAAATAAATCCCCTGGCACATGATGAAATCCTGAGTTGATTCCTGTGTTTTACTACATACACCCACTCGCACACAGCCAGAGTTTTTCTGTTCTGTTTAGCTTAAGTTCATCATGTTTATGTTTTATTACTAGTGCATCTCTCCAGTGCACCAGCTGATTGGCTAAGCCAGCTCAAACTAATCCCTAAGGGAGCTGCCTAGAGTTTGGCTGAGCTAGCACTGATGTAATGAAAAGTCTGTTTGTTTGTATTGGAGCTCTGAGGTCTCTGCCAGGAGTTTCCTTTTCTCTAACACACAGTAACCCCTTATTCTGCAGTAACATACACTGTTTCGTCAAGCTAATGAAGGTCAACCACATGTCTTGCAACAAGTATAATTTGTTTTTGCCTTTTTAGTATCTTTATTGGTGTGCGTTTGAAAGTTATTTCTTGTAAAAATGTGTGACCCCAAACCTATCCCATCAAAGCCTGTTTTGGTGCTATTGGCCATGTAGCTGTTGGATAAAGAAAAATCTGGCATTAAACTAGATGTTATTCCACAGCGGTGTTTGAAATTTCAATAGACTGTAATGCACTGGAATGTGTTTGCTCATAGATCCCATTAAACTGAAGAAGAAAATCTCTCCCAGGGACAATTATCTCACTGTTTTTGTTCTCTGAGGTAAATAAAGTAATAAAATAAAATGTAAATATAATCAAAATTAATTAACCCTCTGTCTTTAGTGGCTATTTAAAGCATAGCTTTCTTAGTTTAAAACCTAACTTGTGTGTTGTTTTCTAACTGAATACTTCTTAATTCCTGCAATGTATTTAACCTGGTTGATTTTTCTCTGTTTCTATCCATAGCGCGGAGGGAAAACATGAAGGTACGGATCAGCGCTACAGATGACACCATTATTCTGAAGTTCATGCGACCACACGTGGACACTAAGCTGGAAGGCTATATCCTGGGCTATGGTAGTAGCATGTTCTCCAAACAGTTCATCCAGCTACCCAAGAATGGAGAACCTTATGAAACCGAGACTGGTAAAACACATCTCTATCTTTGTCTAGCTTTCTCTGTCTCTCACTCTTTCTCTCCATCTTATCTCTCTTATCTCGTATCGTTCTCTGTTTCAGATGCTGAACCAAAATATCTCATTGCAGTGAAGCAGGTAAAGGCAAATGAGGTCAAGAAACACTGCACAGGTAAACAACAACATTATGCATATAAACAAAGCAAATAAACACAACCTATTCTTACTACACAGTTTTTGACACCAAAAGTCTTACCAAGTTCATGTGACAAAAGACTAAAAATAGCTGTAGAAGCCATATTGGCATCATTTTTTCTGTACTTTTGTCAATTTTTACATCTAAAAGTAAGAATGAGACATATAACATAATATTGCTATAGTCATATATATTGCTATATATATAGAGAGAGATTTAGCAAACATAATATTTCATGTTTACAGACTCCCTATAATGGGTCCAGTTTACAGGCTCCCTATAATAGGTCCAGGTATCTGGACCTATTATAGGGAGTCTGTAAACATGAAATACATAATGATACATGTTGTTCAGTCCTAGAACTTCTGACAATGCCTAATCAGAAAAGTGTATTGTACGACAATTTATCATGAAAAAATTAACATATTTGCCATATTCCCCACAATTTGATAATGGCATGTCATTTAGTGGCAAAACTAAAATAACGTTTGGACATCAAACATGTCTTCACTGATCAAGTATATTTTGGGCAAAAATTATTGCAATATTCTTTCTATATGTACATATACTGATAAACAGCAATTTATGATCTACAGAGAAAGTTACTCTGGAAAAGCCTCTGCATTTGGTGATTGGATCCGTGACCCCAACCTCAGTTTTGCTGTCCTGGGGCACACTCTTGAAAACCCCATATACTGACACTAACCTGGATGACTGCATCGAGGAGGGGTATGTGTGTGCATTTGAATGTGTGTGCCCTGCTGTGTTTCTAGATGTCTGGTCACACTTCTGACAGGAGACACAGAGCAGTACAGGTGACAAAGGGCCAAAATCACACACTCATACACATACACACACATACACTGCCTGGCCAAAAAAAAGGTCACACATAAATATTTCGTTGGACTGCCTTTAGCTTTGATTATGGCATGCATTCGCTGTGGCATCGTTTCCACAAGCTTCTGCAATGTCACAACATGTATTTCTGTCTAGAGTTGCATTAATTTTTCCCCAAGATCTTGTATTGGTGATGGGAGATTTGGACCACTGCGCACAGTCTTCTCCAGCACATCCCAAAGATTCTCAATGGGGTTCAGGTCTGGACTCTATGGTGGCCAATCCATGTGTGAAAATGATGTCTCATGGTCCCTGAACCACTCTTTCACAATTTGAGCCTGATGAATCCTGGCATTGTCATCTTGGAATATGCCCGTGCCATCAGGGAAGAAAAAATCCATTGATGGAATAACCTGGTCGTTCAGTATATTCAGGTAGTCAGCTGACCTCATTCTTTGGGCACATAATGTTGCTGAACCAAGACCTGACCAACTGCAGCAACCCCAGATCATAGCACTGCCCCCACAGGCTTATACGGTAGGCACTAGGCATGATGGGTGCATCACTTCAGCCGCCTCTCTTCTTACCCTGATGCGCCCATCAGTCTGGAACAGGGTAAATCTGGACTCATCAGACCACATGACCTTCTTCCATTGCTCCAGAGTCCAATTTTTATGCTCCCTAGCAAACTGAAGCTGTTTTTGCTGGTTAGCCTCACTGATAAGTGGTTTTCTTGAGGCTACACGGCTGTCCCAATCCCTTGAGTTCCCTTCACATTGTGCATGTGGAAATGCTCTTACTTTCACTATTAAACATATCCCTGAGTTCTACTGTTGTTTTTCTGCGATTTGATTTCACCAAACGTTTGAGTGATCACCGATCACAATCATTCAAGATTTTTTTCTGACCACATTCCTTCCTCGAAGATGATGTTTCCACACTGTCCTTCCACTTTTCAATAATGCGTTGGACAGTTTTTAACCCGATTTTAGTAGTTTCAGCAATCTCCTTAGATGTTTTCTCTGCTTGATGCGTGCCAATAATTTGACCCTTCTGAAACAGATTAACATATTTTCCACAACCACAGGATGTGTCTTTCGACATGGTTGTTTAACAAATGAGAAGCTACTCACTGCATCAGTTAGGGTTAAATAACTTGTTGCCAGCTGAAACATAATCACCCATGCAGTAATTATCCAATGGGAGGCTCTTACCTATTTGCTTAGTTAAATCCAGGTGGTGACCTTTTTTTTGGCCAAGCAGTGTATATATACACACACACACACACACACACACACACACACACACACGCACACACACACACACACACACACACATACATTAATGGTTCTTTATAGAACAACAAGAGGTTCTTCATGATAGAGAAGGACCATTCAACCATGCAAAGAACAAATTAAGCATTTGAGTTGTCCTGGTACTGTATCCAAAAAAGTTGGGACAGTTGGAACAGTAACTGAGGTGTAAATAAAAACAGAATGTTTACTACTGTGTTAAATCACCTTTTTGTGGCACTGCCATAGGATGTCAACTTTGCCAGACGTCTGAAATTGCCAGATCTGCCCTGGTCAATTGTAAATGCTGAAAAGGGGCCATGCTGAAGAGCATTATGCATATCTTCCTCACTATAGAGTTACAAACTGCCTCTAGAAGCAACATAAGCACGAGATCAGTGTGTGTGGAGCTTCATGAAATGGGAAACGTGGTCTCAGGAGTGATGAATCACGCATCACTATTTGGCAGTCTGATGGAAGAATTTGGGTTTGGCAGATGCAAGGAGAAAGCCACCTACTGGAATGCATAGTAAAGTTTGGCGGAGGAGGAATAATGGTCTGGAGCTGTTTTTCAGAGTTTGGGCTCAACCCTTTTGTTCCAGCAAAGTGTAATGTTAACAAAAGTGGAAACAAGTCACTAAGTTGCAGTTAACAAGGAGTCTCAAGTCTTCACACTCAAGCCCAGAGTCAAGTCTCAAGTCAAGATAGTCGAGTCTCGATTCATGTCCTGAGTCAGTACAGACGAGTCTGAAGTCGAGTCCCAAGTTAATAGTCCTAATCAAGTCAGTATGCATTCGTTTAAGTGCTGAGCGAGGGTGCATTGATGCTGTGGACGCTTTGCTTGTTACCAACATATAGAGGCGAACTTAAGCTCTAGTGCTTTTCTTGTCTTCCGAAATAAAATAAACCAAGCATAAGCACAGTGACAGGCATTTGCTGTTTATTCAATTTACGTCAGGAAACGAATTCATTCACATGAAAAATAATCAACTGTGTAGAGAGTTCCATCTGCAGTCTCTCCATGTTTCTTCCACTTTGAGCCTTGAGTCTTTCAGAGTTGTGACGCTCAAGTCAGAGTCTGAGTCACTGGTGTTGAAGTCAAAGTCGAGCCCCAAATCTTTCTCGATTTTCTCAAGTCGAGTCTAAAGTCATCAAATTTGTGACCCGAGTCCAACTCAAGTCCAAGTCATATGACTCGAGTCCACTCTGAATGTTAATACTACAGCATGCAAAGACATTTCAGATAATTATATTCATCCAACTTTGTGGCAACAATTACCCCCTTCCTGTTCCAGCATGACTGTGCCCCTCTACACAAAGCCATAAAGACATTTTGACAAGTTTGGTGGCCTGCATAGAACCCTGACCTCAACCCCACTGAACACATTGTGAGCCAGGCCTTCTCATTCAACACCAGTTCCTGACCTCACAAATGCTCTTTTGACTGAAGAGGCATAAATTAACACAGACACACTCTGTTAAAGCCATACAGGCAGGGGTGCAACTCCATGTCCATGGTTTTGAAATGCGATGTTCAGCAAGCTCATATAGATGTGATTGTCCAGTGTCCACTTACACTATATTGCCAAAAGTATTCACTCACCCATCCAAATCATTGAATTCAGGTGTTCTAATCACTTTCATGGCCACAGGTGTATGAAACCTAGGCATGCAGACTGCATCTACAAACATTTGTGAAAGAATGGGTCACTCTCAGGAGCTCAGTGAATTCCAGCGTGGTACCATGATAGGACGCCACCTATGCAATAAGTCCAGTAGTGAAATTTCCTCGCTACTAAATATTCCACAGTCAACTGTCAGTGGTATTATACAAAGTGGAAGCGATTGGGAACGAAAGCAACTCAGCCATGAAGTGGTAGGCCACATAAAATGACAGAGCAGGGTCAGCGGATGCTGAGGCGCATAGTGCACAGAGGTCGCCAACTTTCTGCAGAGTCAATCGCTACAGACCTCCAAACTTCATGTGGCCTTCAGATTAGCTCAAGAACAGTGCGTAGAGAGCTTCATGGAATGGGTTTCCATGGCCGAGCAGCTGCATCCAAGCCTTACATCACCAAACACAATGCAAAACGTTGAATGCAGTGGTGTAAAGCGCCATGTTTTTGGACATTTCACAAAGTTCTGAGTCTTAATTTGCCCTCTTGACTTTTTTGGAATGTGTTGAAGACGTCAATTTCAAACTGAGTATATATTTACAAAAACAATTAAGTTCATAAGATAAAACATAAAATACTGTGTTTTTGTACTGCTTTAGATTTTAAACAGAGCTCACTTCTTACTGTTCTTATTTGCATTTCACATACTGTCCCAACTTTTTTTGGAACTGACATTTGTATAACCGTTGCTAAGGAGCTCTTAAAGAACCCCCTTTTTAAGGGTGTAATCAGTGGAATTGGAAATCATAATGATTTTTTGTTCTGTTCCATGAGGCTCTAGAAGAGTATCTCCATAACTCTAAGTGTCTGAGGTTATTACTACATTAGCACTGTGGCAGACTGACTTTAAAAGAGAAAGCTTTTCATTAGTAAGACTTCACCTTGTCTCTCTGACTCTCCAGGCAGTTCACTGTGCGCTACAGAGAGAACGAGCCCAGCAAGCAATGGAACTATCAAACGTGTCCAACCACCAGTACTGTCATTGACAATCTTAAACCAGATACACCTTATGAGTTTGGTGTCCGAGCAGACATTGACACCATCACTGGAGCCTGGAGCCCTCCAGTAACGCACAACACAGCTGGTATGTCATGCAACAGCATAAAGATAAAACAATATCTAAAATATTTGTGCTGTTGGAACAAATGTTCTCCCGTTTTACAGATGTAGACATACATAAACTTTTGGAAGAAAAACCAGCTGAGAACCGGCTGAGGCCTCAGGTATGTCTACAGTTGCAAAAAGTGAGCAATTTCCCACCTTTCTCCACTTCCTTATTCCTTCCTTTGTTGTCCTTCAGTGTTTTTTTGTTTTTTAATTTGTACACATTTCTCTCTGCACAGGAGCCCATTATTAAAGCTTCCCAAGCTTTCCTGCCTCAAGTTCCTGGTAAGGCATTTTCCCCATTACTTGAATTTGTAACAGAAAAATGTAATTATCAAATATCCAATTCGCTCTGGTACCCTCCACTGTCCAGTCCTGCACAATATTACCAAGAGCAGACGGGCTCCCCTCATAACACACACAGGACCTCCTCCCATACCAAAGACAATTCTAGATAATGAATTTTCAGTTTTTCATTAAATACCTCTGAACTCCTGACATCATCTTTGTATTTCACATGGGTCAAATAAAAGAAATGTAATCCTCTGTATATTTTACTTATTTACTCCGTTTGCCACTCCTCTGTTCTTTACATTAAAGTGCAGGTTTTTTTTTTTTACAACAGCAATATATTCTATAGTAATTTACCAAAAGACAATAGTGTTGTTTAGCAGTCTCAAGGAGTGCATTCTGCCAAGAAAATGCCAAACTGTTCATAGTAGCTTGCAGCAACAAATTCTGTTATATTCATTAAACACTCTTTTTTTGTAATATAATAGCTGATGAACATACAGTACTGTACAACAACACATTAACAACCAAGCCTCAGTTGGTCAACTTGGTATTTTTTTTTTTTAAGCAGAAATCAATTTTGTAGCAGTTTCATTATTTTCTCAGCAAGCAACTAGCAATGACCTTAAAAACATCACAAATTCAGAATGCATTAAATCTTAAGCTTTTGGCAGAATATTTATTATTGCGTATTTATTAACGCTAGCATTCTTTAGGTTCATTCTATAGCAAACTAGTAATTATATGCAGCTAAATGGCTAAGATTAGCTAGTAGAAGTTCTTACAGTGGACTAAACGAGAGAATTTCTCTTTAGAAAGGTTGCTTGTTAAATTTCATATTGCATACCACTTGTCAAGGTCATCTTGTGCAAAATGCTAGGGATACTCTAAAAGTTTTCATTTCCTTCCATTTTGCAAACTGCCATTTTGCTCTAATAGCAGCAGATTTCTTGAACAACCAGAATGCATTTCCTAAGCATTTTGAGAATACCTGATAGCTAACTGTTCTTGATAAGTTATGGTGTATGATACTGTATGCTTTGATGGGGCCTGTCAAATTGAGCACACTTTATACATTCACCAAGCACTTTATTAGGAACACCTGTACACCTATTCATTCATGCAATGATTTAATCAGCCAATCATGTGACTGCAGTGCAGTATACAAAATCATGCACATATGAGCCAGCCACTCAAGCAACAGATTTGCGGACAGAAACGCCTTATTGATGAGAGAGGACAACGCAGAGTGGCCAGACTGGTTTGAGCTGATATGAAGGCTATGATAACTCAGATAACCACTCTGGACTGATGAATATCTATTTCTACTGAGGCACACAAATGGTTGGGTCAAAATTTGATACCAACAGCATGAATCCATGGACCCAACCTGCCTTGTGTCAACAGTCCAGGCTGGTGAAGGTGATATAATGGTCTGGGGAATGTTTTTTTGGCACGCTTTGGGGCCCCTTTTCCTTGTTTGAGTATTGTTGCTGACCATGTGCATCCCTTCATGGCCATACGTCACCCATCTTTTAATGGCTACTTTTATCTTGAGAATGCACCATTTTGAGAGCTAAGGGAGACCCTACACAGTATTAGTATAATGTTTCTAATAAAGTGCTTGGGGAGTATATAATATTAAGAGCAATGACGCACACATTTCCATGGATGTGACAGAAAGACAATAGTATTAAAAATTAACGCTTTTTTCAGACATTATTTATTTTTTTTAATTTAGAATGTACTGACACCTGATTAAATACCTTTGACTCTTGAATGCACTTTTAAAATAAGAGCTCCTCTATTAATGCTCTTTTCTTATTCCTATTAGTGGTTTTGCACTATTCATATCTGCTGGCTTGTTACATTTAATATTAGTGTGTTCGCTCTATTCATATCTCTAGATCTTCTTGATTTATATAATTGTGTTTGCTTATAGGCCTGTGCAGGTAACAGAACCCTTTTATTCAGGTAACTGTGATGTAAATAACTGTGGGAACCTTTAACTTGACCCTGAAAATGTAATTAATTTAGTAGAAAGAACAAAATTGTCAGTGTCACATAAATTTTACTGAGGCCATGGTGTTTGTTGCCACTTAGCTTAGCCTGATACCTTTTGTCCAAGGCCACGTTGCCTGAAGTTTCACCTAAGGTCAAACTGTAGATCTGAGACAGGACAGAATTTTTCCTGACACTCAAACCCCTTCTGTCTGATGTCTAAAAACGGACACTGTAGTCTTTGGCTTTGGTGGCTTTTTGGACAGAAATAGCATACAGAAATGCCTGCTGAAACAGAACAAAATGCTCAATAGCAGCTTTTCTAGAACAATCTCATCTTTGCTTCTAACCATGACTGCCATTACATATAAAATATGACAAAAAATATAATACATAATAAAGTAAATAAGTTTATCCTAAAACATTCATTTTAAGTAAAATAAGCTGGTTCTGCTCTCATGCAGCACTAACAATTTACGGTTAGCGATCTGACCTGGTGAACCAGTGCTAGTGTAGACCAAAAAACATTCAGCAGTGCTGCATTCTCACTTGGTTGGGTTTGACAGGCACAGATTTTAAAGCTAACAACTACAAGGTGAAACAGATAAGGATAGCTTTCTTTTAGCATTGGTTATAGTTCAGCTTATAAGTAAACCTCAGAACCATGTTTATTTTACAGCATATGGACAAAGGCTATGTGGCTGTATGTAGTTATGAAAGTTGCCCTTGATTTTACAATTATTTTATTTAAGAACTGTCTTGTTATTGATCATGTTAAATTGACATGACCTTAGATTTTCATTTACCTGTTCATTTTTTCTCTACTGTCTGATAAGCAGTATGAGTGAGAACATGTGACATGAGACTGAGATTACACCCAAAGTGTGAGTCTCATGGCCAATACGTAAGAGCTGGCAGTCTTGAATAAATTAACTTTATTTTAAGTGGCAATAAATAAGATTTTAACCATCACTGGGTGCTGTTTCAGAGTAACTCCATCCACCATTACCTGGCACAGGCCTATTTGCTTAATTCATATCTGGCTTTTTCCTCTATATCAGGTTTTTACTTTAATTCTTACTCTGGTATGGGGATTACTACAGCTCATGAGAGTTAAATATATATCAAATGACTTAAGCTAAACAAAGAAATGGATAGCGGGCATGATAGCTAGCAAATTAAGTCTCCTAGAATAGCTGTCTATCACCAAGTCTACCATTAACTAGACATTTAACCTAAATTACACTGTTAAGTCAGCTCACTTTGCAAAACTGTCATCAGGTTGTTAGATTATATATTGGAATGCTTTTAACTTTTTCAAAACATTTTTGTTATCAAAATTGTCAAATTTTAATATTGTCTATCAAGAAGTGCCATCCACACACACACACACATACACACACAAACACACACACACACTCAAAAGGACTGTCATGTCTCTTCTCTAAACAGGAACAGGAAGCGATGATATAACATCTCCCCCTTCTGAAGATCCACTGTCCTTGACCCAGACCTTTTTTCATACACCCATGAGACAACCCTCTTCAAAGACAGCCAACACATTTCAGTCCCAACAATCTACTACATCACCTCTTTCCAGTACTTCTCAACAACACCACCACACAACCCAATTCACAACAAGCACAACAGAAACTAAACCATCCACTGAAATCCAGTCAAGCACAACACTCAGCACTAAAATACAGCTGAGCACTACAAAAATCCATCTGAGCCAGAGCAAAACCCTAACAAGCACAACTGAAACCCAACCAAGTACTACAAATATCAAACTGAGCACAACTGAAACCCAAACCAGCACAACCAAAAGCCAGCCCAGCATACCTGAAATTGTTTCTAGCAAAATCAACACTCAACCCAATACAAACCACCTAAGAACGACTGAGTTCCATAGCACAGGTCAACTCCAACCCACTACCAGCCAGCCTCAAACTACCACAACCCAATCTCAGCCTAGCATTATGCAAAGTACAGTTCAATTGCATGTCAAAACAGCCCAATCTAAGCCCCAAACAACCCTCCAAAAGCCCAGTTCAACAAACTTCAGAACACCACAACAAGCGCCCAGCAAAGGCCAACATAAACACAGCACAACCCCCCAATCCCAGCCTAACACAACCAAATCCCAGCCCATTATAACTCAACCCCAACCTAGAACAACTCAACCCAGCACAATCCAATCCCAGCCCATCATAACTCAACCCCAACCTAGAACAACTCAACCTAGCACTGTCCAATTTCATGTCAGAACATACCAATCTAAGCCTGAAACAATCCCCCAAAAGCCCAGTCCAACAAAACCCAGAACAACCACACAAAAACCCAGCAAAAGCCAACATAAACACAGCACAATCCCCCGATCCCAACCCAACACAACCAAATCTCAATCCATCATAACCCCACCCCAACCCAGAATAGTCCAACCCCAAAACAGAACAACTCAACCCCAATCCAAGACAACTCAAGCCCAGAACGGTAATACCCAAACCCAGAAAAGCACAGCCAAACAACCCAGCACAGCTCAATTCCAATTTATGACAACCCAGCCCAAGCCCTTTACAACACCCAGAACAACCCAAATACCAAAAACAAGCCAATCCAGAAAAATGCAACAAAAATCCAGCACAGCGCAACCCCAAGCCAGAACAATCCAACAACAAATCCCCACCCAACCAAACCCCATAACCGAGCAAGCCACTCTGATACTTACTCAACCTTGGACGACCAAAAAACAACCCAACAAAATTCAACAACCTACTACATCTCAAGAAAATATCTACATGACCAAGCAACAACCTACCTTAATCAAACCAAAATCTACACATGAATCTGATACTTACTACAAAGTCAGCACAACAACAGAACATCAACGGACGTTAAGCACTAACCTTTTTTTAACAAGTACACCACTGACCCTGCCAAAGCCCAAAGCAGGCACACAAAAAAGCATTATATTACAGCATACGACTTCTCAACATCCACCTTATGATAACAACGATACACCCAGTACAATTAACATAGTAACAAGACCATGGAAACAGCCCCAAAGATCCACTACATTTCAACATCAACCTGTACCAGATCAAGATCATCAACCAACAAGCTCTACAATACAATATTACAACACTACACAATTGCAATATGACAAAACTGAAAGCACCCGCAAGAGTAAGCCTCAAGTCACTAATAGTCCACATAGTGCCGCCAAACATGTGCCTGATGTGTCTATTCAGCCTTTCAACTCAAAGCTGGTACCAACAGCAAAATCTAATGTCAACCAAAACTCACCTTGGGCAGAAAAGCAGGCAGAGGCAGTCAACAAGACGCTCCAACTCAGCAAAGCGGGTAAATTTTTCTACTGCTTACTAATCAATTCTGTTCATTTAATAATAGCACAAACAATTTGAAAAGAATACAGATGTAGAGTATTGCCAACTAGTCAGCAATGATAGATTAGTTCTGATGTTATTGTGCTTCGAATAGAGTAAAAAAAAACTTAAAAGTAAGAAAGTGAATGTTTCAATACAACTAAATCACCCACATGTCTGGCCAGGAATTCCACCCAAAGCCTTACTGTTGAATTCTGGCCAAAATATTCTTCTGGGCACTATCTAAGTTGGGCTATTATAGAGCTATAATTATAGACCTAGTCACAAGAACATCACAGCTAGGACGTTTTTCACTTTGCTATATAAGCCAGGCATCATATGAGACAGCTTCTCTATGTTACACAGCTCCAAGAGAAACACAGGATGGACAGCCCTCTCCAACGCCTGCTCTTGTCAAAGAGGTGACCATTAAGAAACAGGGTAATGATGTCAATTTGTCTTGAGGCTCCAATGTCAATGGTCCTAACTCTCATCTCTCCGTGTAACTGAATGACTTCACATCATGTAATAACACTGCAGTCACCTGAAACCAGACTGCTGCCAAACATCACCTCCACACAGTGTTTGAACTGATCTTCCATAAAAAATCTTGACTACAATGTCTTCAACACTTTGTGCTGTAACTACTGTACTACATCTCCTCCACATTCCTTAAACCTCATCACAAAACAACCAAACTCTGCACCATGCTGTTACACCTTGCTCATTCCTCATTAAAAGGAATGCTTGAATCAAAAATGCTAATGCTGTTCAATATAATATGGGAACCAGTTAGCACTCTCTCATAATGCTAACTTGTCCCTACAGTATTATTCATTATAAGCAATATTATCATTTTTTGGTGAAGTATTCCTACAAGCACCACCTCTCCAGAATGTTCTTTCATCTAACCTGTTCACATCGCTGTCCTCATCCTGTCCTGTATATCACTTTCTGTCTTTCTCAGTGTTTAATTCTCCAAAGTGTCTTTCTCCAAAGGACTCTCAAGTACCTTCACACACCCCCACATACAGAGTAAAAGCAGCTTTCCTCCTCTTCAGCAGAACCTTGATCATTCTCATCCAATCACTTGGACTGCTGCCACATCCAGTCATAGTGAAATTGCTACTCATGTTTATGTCTATCTAGGCCGAGGCATCTTGCGCAACTTGTCATCTTCTGCTTCAGTGACGTGCCATTCTGCACATACAGTGATACGGAATGGGACTACCAGAGGGTGTGTCCCTGCAGTCACTAAACCTCGCAGAATGAGAGTCCCCCCTATCAATAGAAACAACTCCCTGAAAAGAGCAAAGGGTAACAACATCTCACAAATTCCTGAAATTGAGTGATGTATCTAACGTTATGTCCTGCTGTGCTTTCAGCTGTATTTATGTGTGTGTGGGAGTCTGTGTGGGTCACGTTTTTCCACATGTGCTCAATGATGCAGATATCTGAGGGGCCTTTTTGGGGCTGTCAGAGAAAGATCGAAACCAAATTGATTTATAGAATTCTTTCTGGAGGGAGACATGCACATACATATAGCCAGAAGTCTGTTTCCCATTGAACATCTCTGGCTCTCTGGTAATTTTTCAGAACATCTGATTAACTCCCAGGAGAGCCATGACAGAGACAAGACAGCTGAAACTGTGAAATGGAAATTCAATATGAGTCAATTTGTTGTTTCTGATCTTCTACCCCAGATTGCTCATTAGTTCCCCTCATGCAATTTTTCTTCTCTGTCACACAATCAACTGCATCATGTTGAGTATAAACAGTTCAGTTCATACTATATCATTTTACCATGCTGTTCCTGATTTTGTCCTTATTTGTCATATTTCTGGAATGTGTTTTCATTTGTACTGAGTGCCAGTAACAACCTTTCTTTTATTTTCTTTTCAGTGCACAGTGGTGAGGAACATAAAGGACTGTCGATGCCTAAACGTTCAAAGCAAATTCTTGGTAATTTACAAGTCACTAATGCTTCTTACTAATTCTCATTAATGCAAACTCTCTCTCTCTCTCCACACACAGCTCTATATGGTCATGAAAAACATGTTTTTGTGGTTAATAAGTTCAATGACACAAAAATTCTGAGAAAAATCTAACAGTAAATTGAAATGAAAATTTGTCTGAGAAAAGAAAAATCCTTTAACAAAACCATGTCACAATTAGTGGCACTCCTAGAAATTATATATTTGATATAATTATATTTGAATTTTTTTAGTACACCTGAATGTTCGGAAACTAAGAGGTCATCCATGACCATGTTTCGCTAGAGTATAAAAAGGTGATGAGATCAAACTGCCTTAGTCATTCAGTGACATGGGGAAGAGGTTAAAATAACCAGAACTGTAGTGAACCTGCCAGGAAGGAACGCAAGTATTAGGGGGTCAGGAAGACCCCATGTACAGTGCTGAGGATGATTAGTGAGGTTTTATTTTATTGTTCCGTTTTAAAACATTAGGTTATGAAAAGGTTCAAATATGTACTTTTCACCTGGAAAAACATATTTAAGGTTCACAATTGGACTCTAAAATCACTGCTGTACGTTTGAGGTAACATTTACATTGTTTGTGCCTTGATGAAGGAAAAATGTACCTGCACAGAACCTTTATTTCCAATTTCTTCATAAAGTACAAAATGCCAATGGGTGTCAATATTTGTTGAAAAATAATAGAAATTCTTAAAAATATTTGTTGACAAGGTTTGTTGTTTTCTTGTGTGACCAAGAGAGTGCAAAGCAATGCTCTGAGATAAGTTTGCACCACAGATTCTTTATTTATATATTTTCTCTTTTTTTTTTTAAATAAAATGAGATAAGTACATGTACAGACAAGTACATGCCTCTCAAAATAAAGATACACCAATATACCTTTCAAAAAGACAAAATTGATTATTCAAACCAAAGGACATAAGATATAATCTTTCTTCAATCTTAAAATTTCCACAACACAATATGTCCTGCTTTAAACATCAAAAGTGGAGTATAACCTTATTGTATAACCTTATAAAAGAGTAGAATCAAGTTTATTCCTTTATCAAAACAAAAAAAAAAAAAAACAAAAAACCACACACAACACTAACCAGCATTAAATAAGGGGAAGGCTCAAATCTTGGTGGCTGCCTGCGGGGGAAGATTAAGAGCTCCTCATAAATTAAGTGTCACGCCAAACACACACAATCAAATCACACAAAATGAAACAAAGAAAAATCACACAACTCAAAAAAAAAAAACCCAGTGCAGTGATGAGCTGTCTAAGCTACAGCCACCCGCTGCAAGCCACTGACCACTTGGCCTAGCCCAAACTGGAAGAAAAAAAAATTTAACTAGATAAAAGTTATACAGTTCACATACAACCTCAAAATGAAAACACTTATGTTTTAAGGTTCTATCTTAAACACAAAAAATCCCTTATCTTTGCAGCTTCAGGAGACCAATAAAAATTACAAAAGGCACCAATAAAACTAAAGAAGATTCAAAACTACAAACCAACCTCTTGTAGGATAAGATTAGGGCCTACCCAATAAAGAGGAAAGGAGTAACACTTCACTACTCAGTGACTGCAACAGATAACAAAACTTCAGTTAGATCCAACCATCCATTGAACTAAAATCACAGCCAAGATTTTTTCCTACTTTAGGCTGTCCACAGCACCAACAAAAATGAGAGATCCAACAACTCTCTTAGCAGGCCACAACAAACAGCACTAAAGGCCAACAAAGAAATGCCGTTCAAGGACTCAGACACCTGCAACCAATTAATAGGGGGAGAATTACTGGAAATAGGAAGACTACCACAATAAAAGCCTCCAAAGGAATATTGCACCTATCATAATAAAAGGCATCCAAATACTTCATCCTGCCACACTTGGACTAAATGTACTACACTGTCAGTAAAAACACTATATAATAATAAAAACACAAATAAACACAAGCACAGCAAAAAGTAAGTTGCTAGTTAGAGGTACAAATTTTGGTTCCCAAACTCTCCCTGATGCCCCAAACTATCACTATGGATTTGTTTAATTCCATCACCAGCACATCTGATTGAATGTAATAACGTATTGATTACTCAAACCAGACATTGGATGGTAACGACAAATAAAACTGGCCTGCCACAAGGAGAGGTTTGGAAATGGTGAGAAAAACATATTAACATATGTTAAATCACTGATTATGTTAATGTTATACCATTACTGTTTTACTGAGCAATTAAACTGAGCAATTAATCTATTTCAATTTACTCTAATGTTACATTTTACTGGCAAAAACACACTTACTGCCAACATAAATAGTTTAGCAGTATGTGAACTTCCACATAAATCTGACCTAAAATATGATAACATCTTCATTTAGGTTTTTTCATTTATTTATTGAACAAATTGATTGAACATTAAATGTCTTGGTTAGCAAAAGTATGTGAACCTTTCAGTAACTGTTGTGAACCCCTTGAGCATTTCAACGAAATGGTTCCGGTAACTGTTGGTCAGCCCTGCACATTGACTTGGAGGAATCTTGGCCCATTCCTCCTTACAGAACTGCGTTATGTTGGTGGACTTTCTGCATAATGCCATGCCATGTCTTAGGTCCTGCCACACCATTTCCATTAGATTAAGGTCTGGACTTTGATTCAGCCATAATGCAACATTTCTTCTGCTTCAACCATTCCTTGTAGACTAACTTGTGTTTTTAGGGTCATTGTCTTTCTGCAGGACCAACCTTCTGTTCAGGGTGAGTTCATGGATGGATGCTCTGACATTCTCCTGTAGAATTTCTTAATGCAATCGTAGTCTCATAGCTGCAAAACAGCCCCAAACCATGATACTGACAACACCGTGCTTCTCAGTTGAAATTATTAAGCTAGAATACAACATTGCTCATTTAAGCCATAAAAATCTATTTGTGCCTTACTTGTGACATAGCATTATTTCAGTAGTCATCTGGCTTATCCTGGTGATCTTTGGGGAACTTTAAACAGGCAGCAAGGTTCTTCCTGGAGAGGAATGACTTTCTCCATGCTATCATTCCACACATACTATTCTTGTTCAGTGTTTGTTGGACTCATGAACACTGACATTAGCCAGTGTAAGAGAGGCAGATCCTTAGATGTTACCTTGGGGTTCTTTGTGATCTCCCATGATATTATACACCTTACACTTGGAGTCACTGGATTACTACTTTTGTGAAGGGTAACAATGGGGTTGAGTATCTTCTATTTGTACACTATTGGCCTGACAGTGGATCGGTGAAGACCAAACTCTTCAGAAATACTTTTGGAACCTTTACCAGCCTAATGAGAATTGGCTTGCTGTTTTTCTGAGGTTTTCAGAAACCTTATTTGACTGTGGCATGGCATGCACTAGCAAATGTGTATGGTAAAGACCAGACTTCAATGGTGAAGACTTGGGTTTATGTTTTTTAAACAGGGTAGGGCCAGACATACTCAAACCTGATTGATTAAACCTAATCCTGATCCTAATTATCAGCTACACCAAACTGATAATTCTAGAGATTCACATACTTTTGCCAACCTAAATATATGATAATATATGAATAATATGTTGAATCACTTTGTTCAATAAATGAATGAAAAAAGATATAACTGTGTTTTTGTTTCTGGTTTTCTTTATCCATTATGACTTTAAATGTAAGTATGTGTATATTCACACACACCACTCAGCCAAACATTATGACCACTCACAGATGAAGCAAATAATGTTGATTAGCGAGTATGGACCATACCTTCAAAACTTTGTGGTAATAAATGGGGACAGTGATTGAGGGAGGGCAGAGAACTCTGAGAACTTGGGCTGGAATACTGAGTGGCTTCTATCTGGAGCTAGAATGCCAGGCCCCTGCTCTTGGTTGAATTTCAGAACTGTCCAGGTCTTGGACTGAGGTGTGTGAGGAGTATGCTTAACAGACTTTCGTGTGATGAGATAGACGGTTGTTCAGAAGTCTCTGTCCTGCAAGAGCTGATTGCAGGACAGTAGTCAAGAACTGTAGCAGCTTGAGTAGAGAATTTGCTATGAGTGTACACAAACAGGATATGGAGGAGCTGGAATCAGAATGAAGGATTCAGGACTCAGAATGTTGGTCAGATGGTGGAGCATTTGAGTATCTGAGTATCTCCAGGCTTCATATGTTTTGGTGAAGGAGTTCAGCCTAAGCAGGAAAAGAGGAGTACTTAAGTTGACCCTTTGTGTGGTGCTTGGGGTAAATCGATATGGCCAGAAGACTGGGTTGGAGCATCCTTGAAACCGCAAGGCTTGTGGGATGGTCCCAGTCAGCAGTGTTGAGTACCTTCTGACTGTGGTTTGAGAAGGGACAAACCATGAATCAGCGACAGGCTATTGGCTCACTGATTTGCCAGGGTAACAATGGATTTTTCCATCTCATCTAAAATGACAGACAGCCTACTGTGGCACAAGTCACAGAAATTTTTAAAGATGGTTATGGTAGGAATGTATCGCAACATTGCATCTTACTTTGCTGTGTATGGAGCTGTGTAGCTGCAGACCAGTCCCAGTGCCCAGGCTAACATATCCCAACATGCTTTCTCAGGTTGGACAGCAGATTTGAAGGCATTGATTAAGTTTGGTAAACAGAGCAAACATTTAAAATGATACAAATCTTTCTTTATTTCAAAAGTCTCAAACATGGGCTTCATACATGGCCATAGGTGCTCTGGTGAGAAACCTATATCTTTATCTTTATCATATTTTTCTGCCATAATAGTAGTCATCATTACAGCTGCCTATTTCAACTGTGATTGTTTTTTCTTCTGTGACAAATCACATTTTAGAAAAGAAAATTCCTCCACTGACCTCAAAAGTATGCTTCAAAGTAATGAGAAATGTAGTGGGAATGTAGTGGAGTCAAAAGTACAATATTTGTTTTTCAAATGTAGTAGAGTAAAAGTCATAAGTTTTTCCAAAAAAATTGATACTCAAATAAAGTACAGATACTCAAAAAATGTACTTAAGCTCAGTACTCAAGTAAATGTACTTTGTTAATGTCCACCCCTGGGTACCAGATACAATACGGCATCTTCAGAGGTCTTGTAGAGCAGGGTTTCTCAACCTGTGGGCTGTGGACCACCAGTGAGGCGTGAAGCACCCTGTAGTAGTCCGCAGGCCTGTATTCAGGGGGAGGCAGTAGTTTGTAGAGGGCCGGTAATGTCACTTTAAGTCATAAAAGTGGAAAAAAGATTAACATAATAATTAAGAATCAAAGAAACAAACGTTTTCAAATTATAACCAATATACGTATAAATAAGAATACTGCAGGAGTAAGCTAAACGTCATCAGTTTGAGACAACTCAGGCATCAGTTAGTGAGCCAGAGACGGAGAAGTTTCTCAGGATGCTTTCACACCTGCCTTGCTTGGTGTGGACCCATCAGATTTTTTCTTTAGTTTGCTCTGTTTTGACATCTGTGAATACTCCACCCATAATCAGTTCTGCAACAGACAGCTGAACTGTGGTCTGGCAAAATTGCGGCTCTCGGTCCGCTTCCAAACATACCCTGGTTCAGTTCACTGCTGGTGGGAACGCATTCTATGATGAAATGAGGGAATTCATCAGTAGGTCTACTAAAGCTTGCTTTTCTCTTCTTCTACCAGCACGTCAGCACTGTACTGTCAGCATAATATGTCTGTTTTAATGTTTGACCTTTACAGACTTTGACTTGCTTTCATATGATTGTTTCTGCAGCACGAGCTACTGTTAAATAAAATTACACTGAAGAGATGCGTTTGATTTTGGCTCATGGATCAAAATGTATTTTTGAACCCGAGTGGTTAAATTCAAACTGATGAACGTATCCTAAAGAAGCAGATATCAAGGTTTTTTATTATTGTTGATTGTGATGACACTAAATCCAAAATCCTGGTGAGCGGAGTGTGGTTTTGTCTATTTTAAATGAATCACAAAACCAAGACATCAGTGAAAATGCAATAGACTGCAGCTCCAAATCACAATTAAAATCTACCTCGCTATTCTCGTTCTTTTTTTCCTCTTTTTATATTTTTTAACATATTATGTTTTTTAATGTAACTGCAAATTTTGGTTTCTGTGAGTGAACCAAAATGGACGATCTGATCTTTTTCAGTCGCTGGTTCTCAAGTTTCCAGTGTCAGCACTTATGAAAAGAAAAAGAAAATTGTGTTTAAAAAGTTGACTTTAGTTTTCCTGTGGCCCTTTGCTTTGGTGTATATCATGGTATAATGTATTCTGTTTTTTTTTTGAAACCATTAAGTAGGCTAAACCTTTTTTGTAGATTTACAATGACGTATTTTTCTAGATGTCCTTTCACTTTTAATGAAAACTATATTTAACAACTGAAGTAAATCTAAAATATTGTGCTTATATGCCTGGGTTTTAAGTGAGCTCCAAAAACTGATGCATTCTTTTCTAAAAGGCCCTAATGCTAGGCTTAGGTTAACTTAGTCCTTAGCAAAGTATTCGCTGCTTTTGTTGGACTCTTAAATGTGTAGGGCAGGGGCTAGTTTTTCTTTATGGAGGATGTTGACAGGAACTTCAAATAGCCTAGTTGTAAACAAAGGAGGGCTTAGACTAGCTAGTCAGGCATTGTTGCGGCTAAGCCAAACACAGTTCTACTGTTTTCTGTTGCAACTGCTTCCTTTTAAGTTTTGAGTAAAGCTGCAATATGGACCAAGACCCTAACTCGAGTTTCTTGGAGGAAACCATGCATCACAATATTTTTATTGGGTGAAATAGTAAAAAGAGAAATGAATAATAAATAGACAATATTGCTTTCTAACTCTAGCGAGATAAAGGCGAGTGTACATAAAGCCCACAGCGACATGGCACCTCTGAGCACGGCAAAAACAGTACAAAGCTGAAGACAGCTTCTTCACCAGCTACTTGTTTGATTTGTTCTATTTCACTCTAATGGTGCATGAGGCGCCAGAAGGTGGAAGGAGAAAATTCAAAAATGGAAATTTCGAAAATTCAAAAAACAAAACCAAAATCAGCCTTGTGAAAAAATGGTGCTAAATGTTGTTTTATGTTCAAAAGTCACTTGTCTCATATGTGTGTGTCTCACACTCAAGCTTTAATCTACGACCATCAGATGCTGCTGGAATTTAGTCAATATAACAAGATATTCACACTATCAGTTTTAGCTGCAAAACTACAGAACCTCTTGAGGGAATCAGCATGTTCTGCACTGTTTGTACGTTGCATTATCTGCATTAATGTGCATACTGGTATAATCGTAATGACAAAACTAATACCTTAAGAAGAATTTCAAATGTATACTGGATGAACCAGTATATTGCCCACTACAACTCTGCAACCAAGCAAGGGATAGGATAGATAAACTGACAACACTGACTACATGATAATAAAGTTTTTTAGAGATACAGAAGAGAACATACTTAATTTAAATGTCTGGACCTGTCAAGAGATTCCTCCTCAGATTTAAGTTAAAGAGAGATAAAGCTGACGTCTTTATCTTGAGGTTAAATATAAGGCTGACAACATTTGCATAGTTTGCACAAATTAGAGCAATTTTTGACCCCAGTACTAATGTTGTTAGCATATAGTGCTTACAAATATGCAGGATCAGAGAACTTGAAGTGAGGGGAATTACCACTCTGTAATGTCTTCCGGGTTTCTCAAACGCTAGGGGGCACTCCTGAGTGAGCCCAAAATGAATAAGTTAATATAGAGCATTTGAGCAAAATCATAGTTTATAAATGCTTACACATTTTTAATATAAAAAATATATTCATTTTCTGAACAAAGAACTGCATAAAAATTTTAACACCACTGTTAGATTTTTAAGAGCTTCTGAACTCGAGTTATAGAAGTTCAAAAAGATACCTCATGACATCAGTGAGCATAAACAGGCAATGAGCTGCTCCACTTGCCAACCAATCAGCACTCAGTAGCAGTAATGCTAGCATCTTGCAGCCCAAAACCCATTTGCTGTAGAAAAAAGGAAATATGCATGTAAGTTTTCTTTGCTTTTTAGTGAAATGCAAACTTTTACTTTCTAAAATTAAAGGAAAGTTTTAAGCAAGTGATTAGAAACTATTTTAATTTTTTCATTTTTAACTGTTTGGCTCAATTCACCTCATTCACTGAGAACTCACTTGAGGCACCCTCTGGCATTTTGTAGTCATGTTTTGATATAATGGGGGAAATAGGAAGAGGCCATGCTCCTCATAAACTGGCTCTGGCAGGATCTCCTTGACAGTGAAACTGATTCCCACACAGCTGTGTTCCAGGTTAATTTCAGGCCAAAAACAACATTTCTCTGCTGTTCATGTCAAAAAGGGTTTCCAACATTGCAGAGCTGAGTGGAGGACCATGACAAATGAGTTACTGATAAAACATGGCCAAAGTACTGAAGAGAAACTAGCCTCTTCTTATCCTTTCTCATTACACTGAGCCCCATTAGAGGAAAAACCTCTTATGTTGAGTCAACACCTGTGTGGTAAAGTTACCTAGATTTTATCTTTTCTTTCATCTCCTCTGTGAATGGTTATGATAAAATGAGCAGACTATACCTGAAGTAGATACACAGATAACAGCAAGCCAAACTGTAATTAAGTTGTCCTCTTGTAATTGTGCTTTTGCAATAAAATCTGAAAATAAAATGCAAAGCTGAATGTAACACTAGAAAACTATCACTATTCATAATTGTTGTTAAACCTAACCAGAGAGTTATTGGAAAACTTATGAGGGATTTTTCCAAGCAAAGTTTTGTACAATAATCATTTGGTTCTGACTTTGTCCTGGCTAAGGAACCTGTCTCTTTCAACTTCTGACAGTAGTTTTAGTGTTCACGGATTGGCCAAGATTATCACTTCCTGCCTAACACTCTGATTGTGAGGACACTGGCCTAGTGGCATGCAGAGAGCTGCCCTGGTTGTTCCCCACAACTACACATTCTTCTTCAATTCGGTCCATCTGAATTTGGTGCAAAAAATACTGTATGAATTTTTCATACACATGCTCCAGCTATTTCTGGTCCTCTATAGAGGTGGGATTTTAGGGAAAAATCTCGACACTGCTGAATTAGGTCACAGAGGTTTTAAGCACTCAACTTTAATTGGCTTAATTCATCATCCAGTCACAACATTACACTAACAGCCTTTGTTACTTTGTATTGTCTTCCTTCAGTCACATCACTGTTTGATGTTTTGATATTCAGATGTCCTGCTATCCACACTTCAGTTACTACTATCACATCCAGTCCGATAGGAAATGTAGAAATGCTTATCTGTAGAATTTGTGTTCTAGGATCACCTGCAAATCCAAAGAAGAAGGGACCAAACCAGGTGGAAAAGCCAATAGACAAGGGTGAGAGCAAAACACAAAAGGGCAGAGTAAATACGGACACAGTATTATACACCTTTTAACAGCCTGAACTTTCAAAACTGCTCTTATTCTTTAACATCAATGCTTCAATTGCATACTATATGACTGATAAATAATTTTTTTTTGTATTCAGCTGATAAAGTAACTGATCTGAAGCAGCTGGAGATGGATACACTGCTAAATCTGAAACCCCATGCTGCTCCTGCCACAAAAGTACCAGATTATCAAAAGCCAACACCAACAAGCACACCCTTTTTTGCCTTTAACGGTATGAAATTGCTCTTATCAGGTTCATTTACAGACACTAGTTGGTGATGGAAACAGACTGGAGAGTGGCAGTGAGCGAGTGAGTGAAATATGCTTACTTATATTTCTCAGGCAGCCGTTTTGACAACTCCTCTGTATTCAGTTCCATTCCTGTCTCTCATGTGGACGCGATGGGGAAAAAACGTTTTGTAGGTAAGACTAATCACTGCACGGTCATTAGGATACATGTATTTACATAGCCATGAATTTAGGATTGAGGTTCTCAGCTCAATTCTTGCCCTGTTTTGCAACCAATTTACACTCATTTCTGTTCCAGCTCCCAAAACTCTTTAGTCACTGGGCCTGAATACCTTTTGATTACATAGTCCATTTATGTTTGGAAATAGAATAGAACAGCAGCACATATACTAAAATTGAAGGTAACACTTTACAATACTGTTTCATAGTTAATAAGTAATTAATCAGGAACTAAGCAGGAATGAATGAGTAGTGCTGCATTAACAGTTATGTAACTACTCTTAACTACCAAGGACTACTAGTTAACTACTCAGTAGGTAATGGTGAACTAATGATTAGTGTAGTTCACTATTAACTAAACAATAACTACTGAGTTCCAACACTTCTAACAGTAGTGAAATACACTACACAGTGTGCAGTCTCTACAATATAATGGATTATATCCTCCATTTCTATTCACAGAAACAGGTATCATCAGAGAAGACTGGGGGCATCACACCACACTGTACTGACTGATGTCCCTCATGTGTTTGTTTTGATCAGAAACCTTAAAAGGCTAATGCGCATCTTCATATTTGGCAGTGTGAACCAATTTGCACATCAGCCTACAAATAGGACAACTGCTAAAATACTACAGTATTCAGTAGACCAGTCTGCCTACCTCTCATCTTCAGAAAAGAAAACACCATTCTTTTCTGCAGGAGCATGTGTGCCAGTGTTTCTACTGAACAGTAGTTCTCCTTTAAAGTCCTCTTGAGGGCAGGGTCAGTTGAAGGGAGGGCTCACAGAAATATCTGACTGTGTATGTGTCCTGCCTTCAAATTCACTAGGTTCTAAATATTACGGCGTGATTATGTAATTACTGTCTGTTAGATAATGAATGAGGTGTTGCTGTTCTTCATTAGGAGCTAATGATGTAAAACACATTGTAACTCATCATTAATAAACTAGGAGTTAATGATGATCTAGAACAGTATTATAAAGTAAAACACATGGTAACTCACAATTAATGAACTAGGATTTAATGATGATATGGAACAGTATTATAAAGAAAAACACATGGTAACTCATTATTTATTAACTAGGAGTTAATAATGATCTGGAACAGTATTATAAAGTGAAACACATAGTAACTCATTAATGAACTGGGAGTTCATGATGATCAGGAACAGTATTATAAATTGAAACACATAGTAATTCATCATTAATGAACTAGGAGTTAATAATAATCAGGAACAGTATTATAAATTGATATACATTAGAAATGAAAACCCCTAAAGAAATGATGTACTGTAGTACAAAAAATATTAATAAAGAAATTTTGAAAAAAGTAAGAGTAAATAAGTTTTTTGTTGAGTCCTTTTTTATTTGTGAACAGTCCAAATGTGAAAACATCCCGGAGTTAGCTAGCAGCTATATCATTGAAAATAATACACCCAAACAAAATGAAATCAAAATCTGTCATTACTACTGAAGAAGAAAGTCTTACTGCCTATTAGCTTAGCTCATGTTAGCTATATTAGTTAAGTAACTCATAACAGAACATCAGCAGCAGCTTTAGGTTTAATAAAGCACTAACTTGTGCTTATAATTCTGAAACAACACAGTAAAACAGACATTGTACAAGAATACCAGACCTACTTAGCTCAGATTAGTTAGCAAGTCAGCTAACTGTGTCTCTACATTCATGCTGCAGTCTGAATAAAACATTGAATCTGAATCAAAAGTCTCACATTAGTAGCCCAGGGGTCTGCCATGAGTCTGATTCACTCATAATACATCAGGAGATACAGCAAGTCAGAATTAAAATATGAACTGAATTATCAAACCAATCCACTGAGAACACAGGAATAACTGCACTCCTTTCCCAGCACTCACAAAAAGCTATCATAATAAGAGTCCTATGCAACTCTACTGTTAAATGTAAGTTTATTTAATTCAGTAGAACTTCAAAAAATTCAAAATACAAAACAAAAAAACAAACAGGAGTGGTGAGACCAAGACAAGATTGAGACTGAGACAAGATTTTTCAGAATTCAAAAATAAAAAGAAAGAAGAGAAAAACCACGGAAACCACTAAAAAGGTTACTTATCATTCATTATACATTATATATAGATGAATATTATATTTATAACATATTTTGTAAAACTAAACATTAAATAATACATAGACTGAAAATGTTGTAAAATATTATTATAATATTAGTCCAATTCTGCATAATAACTTAGATGGTAGATTATTCCCTGTCCCTTCTTCTCTAAAATCTATTTGGGATCACTACCTAAGGTCAACTAAATATAAACCAAACAATATACATCCATTTTTATTATTAAATGAAAACATTCTGATCTGTCTAGTTAATCTGTCATGGAAAGATCAGTTAGACTTTATTTGAAATAAAATATAAAATACAGGGTCCTAAAGTCAAATTGTCTGTGGGCCAAGTGTCAGATGGTCTTCTCCAAAAAGGCCTGGTAGAAAAAATGTAGGTAAAAAATGTTCTGTAGTTTTCATCCAAGTACTTCAAATATGCACTCATTTAAGTGCATCTTGGTCAGTGCATATTAACAAGTCTTCTATCACCACAATCCACTACTACCACTGATGATGATGATGATTATTATTATTACTATTATTATTATTATTATTACTATTAAGTTGGCTTGAAAAAGTCCATCATAATCTCATTTTTATTATTCTACGCTCACAATATAAAATGTTTCTCGTCCTACAGTTTTTGAACTAGAACCATGAAACTTCGCAGGGTCCTATACCCGCGGGGTGTGCTTGTGCTTTTCTAAGCGATCCAATGTACAGTTTTCGTAAAATTATCGCTCAAAACGATATTTTTTCCCATAGGAAATGAATGGCTGGAACGTTCGGGACATTCAAATGAACTGCCACGAGTCATGTCATAATAGACATCTCTCACACGCACACTCACACACAGTACACAGACTCACACACTAACAGCCTAATGCACAGCAGTATCAGGACAAATAATGAATTTAAGGTGGAACTGCTTTTAAGGGGGAATTGCATTTAGGTAGCACTGAATTTAAGGCAGATCTGCTTTTAAGGTAGCACTGAATTTAAGGTGGAACTTCATTTAACATAGCATTAAATTTAAGGTGGAACTGCAATTAACATAGCACTGAATTAAAGGTGGCAGTGAATTTAAGGTCGAACTTCAGTTAACATAGCACTAAATTTAAGGTGGAACAAAATTTAAGGTGCAACTTCAAATAACAGCACAGAATTTGAGGTGGAACTTCAAATAACAGCACAGAATTTAAGGTGGAACTCTCTTTAAGGTAGCTCTAAAATTAAGGTGGCACAGAATTTAAGGTGGAACTTAATTAAGGTAGCACTAAAATTAAGATGGCACAGAATTTAAGGTGGAACTTCTTTTAAGGTGGTATAGAATTTAAGGTGGAACTCTCCTTGAGGTAGCACTAAAATTAAGGTGGCACAGAATTTAAGGTGGCACAGAATTTAAAGTGGAAGTCTTCTTAAGGTGGCACTAAATTTAAGGCACTGGGTTTAACGTGAAACTGCAATTAACATAGCATTAAATTTAAGGTGGCATAGAATTTAAAGTGGAGCTTCATTCACGGTAGCACCTAGCAACGAATTACCATCCACCACGGATACTGCAGCTGCTGCTTAGCAACATGTTGACAACATTTTAACAACTATCAACAGTCTTCAACCATTTTAATGTTTTAATGTAATTAACTGGCTTTTTCAAGCCAACTTTCCCTTTCTAGTGATTATTACTGTAGTAGTAGTAGTATAAATACATAGATGTTTTGGCATATAAAATAATAAACATTTTAGTGTTCTGTTGAATTAAATAAACTTACTTTTAACAGTAGAATTGCACTATTATGATAGCATTGATGTTTCTGTTAAGCACAAACTAGCACAATGGACTCAGCACTAATGTAGAGACACAGTTAACTGACTTGCTAACTAATCTGAGCTAAGCTAAGTAGGTTCAGTCTTCTTGTACAATGTCTGTTTTACTGTATTGTTTCAGAATTATAAGCACGTTAGTGCTTTATTAAACCTAAAGCTGCTGCTGATGTTCTGTTATGAGCGCACGCTAGCTAGCTAGTTAATTTAGCTAATATGAGCTAAGCTAATTGGCAGTAAAACTTTGTACCTCAGATATGAAACAGTAAGATGTGTAATTAATGTTCTAGCAGAACATGCTATGATCAGTCTCAGCTTTCAGACACTACAGACTCCTTCAGTAGTAATGACAGATTTTGATTTCATTTTGTTTGGATGTATTATTACAGTGATATAGCTAGCTAACTCAGGGATGTTTTCACATTTGGACTGTTCACAAATAAAAAAGGACTCAACAAAAAACTTATTTACTCTTACTTTTTTCAAAATTTCTTTATTAATATTTTTTGTACTCCAGTACATCATTTCTTTAGGGGTTTTTGTTTCTAATGTATATTACTTTATAATACTGACCATTGTTAACTCCTAGTTCATTAATAGTGAGTTAGCATGTGTTTCACTTTATAATACTGTTCCTGATCATCATTAACTCCTAGTTTATAAATAATGAGTTACCATGTGTTTTGCTTTATAATACTGTTCCAGATCATTATTTACTCCGAGTTCATTAATTATGAGTTACCCTGTGTTTTACTTTATAATACTGTTCCTGATTATCATTAAGTCCTAATGAAGAACACAGTAACAACTTGTTCATTAATAATGAGTTACCATGTGTTTCATTTTATATTGTTCCTCATCATGTTAATGAGTTACCATGTGTTTCACTTTATATTGTCCCAGATCATCATTAGCTCCTAATGAAGAACAGCAACACCTCATTCATTATCTAACAGACAGTAATTACATAATCACTCCGTAATATTTAGAACCTAGTGAATTTGAAGGCACAGTCAGATATTTCTGTGAGCCCTCTCTTCAACTGACCCTGCCCTCAAGAGGACTTTAAAGGAGAACTACTGTTCAGTAGAAACACTGGCACACATGCTCCTGCAGGTGTTTTCTTTTCTGAAGATGAGAGGTAGGCAGACTGGTCTACTGAATACTGTAGTATTTTAGCAGTTGTCCTATTTGTAGGCTGATGTGCAAATTGGTTCACACTGCCAAATATGAAGATGCGCATTAGCCTTTTAAGGTTTCTGATCAAAACAAACACATGAGGGACATCAGTCAGTACAGTGTGGTGTGATGCCCCCAGTCTTCTCTGATGATACCTGTTTCTGTGAATAGAAATGGAGGATATAATCCATTATATTGTAGAGACTGCACACTGTGTAGTGTATTTCACTACTGTTAGAAGTGTTGGAATACACTACATCAATTAACAGTTCACCAGGAACCTTGTAAGACTGAGCAATTAATGTTGATTTGATCGGTAATTTATGAGTAGTTATTCTAAGCAACCATAGTTACTAAGTAATTCTCTGTGATACTCAGTAGTTATTGTTTAGTTAATAGTGAACTACACTAATCATTAGTTCACCATTACCTACTGAGTAGTTAACTAGTAGTCCTTGGTAGTTAAGGGTAGTTACTTAGGTGTTAATGCAGCACTACTCATTCATTCCTGCTTGGTTCCTGATTAGTTACTTATTAACTACGAAACAGTATTGTAAAGTGTTACCAAAATTGAATTTATAAAGAGAGGTACACATGGCAGTGTGAGAAGATGACATGTAAATCCATGAAGCACTCCATATTTTGTGGTTAGAGAGTTAAGCCACCAATATTACAGGTTCAATTTCTAGGACTGTCTGTGTATCTGAGGTGGTGCCTTTGGGCAAGCTGCTGGCCTCTTGCGTTGCTGCTCAGCTTGGAATGCTGTACTGGGGCTGTATTAGAGAAACTTCCAATCTTTTCGTCTTAAGATCTGACAAGTCCAAAAAAGATCTTTCACAAAGTCGTATTACAGAAGCAAAACTCTTGCTTATCTTACAAAATCTAATCTTAATTTAGGAACCTGCAGGATCTTATCTCAAGTTACGAAATCTTAACATACTTGATTGAAGTTGACAATCAACTGTCGTGTCTGCTACCACGCAACCAGCCATATGCACACAGCTGCCAAAAAACAATTAATCAAAATAATCAATTTAGCTAGGTAGCCAGACAGCTAGCTACCATTGTATAATGTACAAAAGGTCAAACAAAACTAAAGTGTAAAACTGGAAGTTATAACGTGACAGCGGTTTGTGCTGTCATCACGCTAAAGTTATTCCTCCTAATAAACAGCCATACGTTCAGCTCTGTCTCCTCATTATTCACTGACATCGCTGTAATATATATCTGACAAGTTATAATCAGTGATCTAATAGCTTCCATACTAAATTCAGTCCTAACTGAAGTTGTCATGGTGGCTAAACAGATAAGATTTCAGAGTTAAGAAGTTTCTGTAATATGGTCCCTGGTCCCTAACTAGGTATAGTTAGGCAGCACAATGACCAATTTCCCTTGTAAATGAATCAATAAAGCAACTTGAAATTGTGATTGACTGCAAGGACTTAAGAACTGAATTGGGAATGTCAATGAGTTTAGCATTCCCAGTTTATTTGGTTCACCTCTCAAGCACTGTGTTATGCCTCCTTTTGCTTTCATAACAGCAAGATATGACAGGTTTCTGGGCATGGTTTCTACAAGTTACTGGATTGGCAAAAATGTTGCAGTATGCAGAAATTATGTTGTGCAGCTGCTGCAAACTGGACAGCTGCAGTCTTGCATGAACAGCCCTTTGATCTCATCCCAAAGAGCTGAGGTCGGGGGATTGTGCCGACCACTGAAACAGTGGAAACTTGTGGTCATGTTCCTGGGACCATCTGGTGACTGTTGAACTGTTGGGTAATTTTCCACAGATAATAGTTGATTAATATACACCGATCAGGCATAACATTATGACCACCTCCATGTTTCTACGTGCATTGTCCATTTTTTCAGCTCCACTTACTATATAGGTGCACTTTGTAGTTCTACAATTACAGACTGTAGTCCATCTGTTTCTCTGCATACTTTGTTAGCCCCCTTTTACTCTGTTCTTCAGTGGTAAGGACCCCCATGGACTCTCATAGAGCAGGTACTATTTGGTACTATTTGGATGGTGGATCATTCTCAGTGGTGGTGGTGTGTTAGTGAGTGTTGCGCTGGTCTGAGTGGATCAGACACAGCAGTGCTGCTGGAGTTTTTAAACACTCACTGTCCACTCTATTAGACACTCCTACCTTGTCAGTCCACCTTGTAGATGTAAAGTCAGAGACGATAGCTCATCTGCTGCTGCACAGTTTGTGTTTGTCATCCTCTAGTCCTTCATCAGTGGTCACAGGACGCTGCCCACAGGATGCTGTTGGCTGGATATTTTTGGTTGGTGGACTATTCTGAGCCCAGCAGTGACACTGAGGTGCAACACACACTAACACATCACCACCACGTCAGTGATACTGCAGTGCTGAGAATGATCCACCACCCAAATAGTACCTGCTCTGTGAGGGTCCATGGGGGTCCTGACCACTGAAGAACAGAGTAAAAGGGGGCTAACAAAGTATGCAGAGAAACAGATGGACTACAGTCTGTAATTGAAGAACTACAAAGTGCACCTAATAATGTCATAATGTTATGCCTGATTGGTGTATGATAACAATTCATAATTCCTGCAGTGTGATGATCACCAAAAAAATAAAAAGAGATCACCAAAAAACAGAATTTAAATAGAAAGGTATACATTTTAAAATAGCACTTTACAGGAATGTTATCTCAGCTGGTCAACATTTTAGCAAAGACTCACATGTAACATCACATGTAAAGGCAGAAGAGAGAGAGGAGAGGTGAGCAAGGTGGGCGGTGAGGTCTCTACCCACCAAGCATAGACTCAGACAGACCAGTTAAACCTTTATGTAAAGTACACATAAATTAGACATCACTAAACACAGGGTCATTGGTTAAGTTCAGTCAACAGTTGTGGTCAAATAAGATCAAATAGTCTCCACAAAGTCATCTTTTGCACAGTTCCACAATAATGGAAGTACCCATTTCCAGTTCCATTAACAGCAGGCATTGCCACCATGTCTGGTAGGACAGGTTGGAGAGTGGCATAAGCAAGTCCTGCCACAATAACCTTCTCTAAGTCCTTATCTCCTGCCACAATTTTCAGAGAACAATCTCCCTCCACCATGTGATTTGTGGTAAAAAAAAATGCCAAACAGAAAGGACTTGCTCAACAGCTATGTTCAGAAACACTATGCAGGTGTTCTACACTGAGTGCCAGGAAAACATTCCACATATCATCACACTGGCACTGCTGGCCTGTATTGATGATACCAAATAAAATGACTCCCTGAATTCATGTTCCTCAAGGATCCATGTTCCTTATGTAATCCTTCCATCAGTGTGATGTAAAAGGAACCTAGAATCATCCATCAGGCAACATTTACCCACTCTTTAATGGTTCAGTTTTGAATCTAGAGGCTTTAAAATGCTAAAACAAGCACACCTACCACCAACTATCACTAAGTCACCAAGGTCACTCATTTTGCTTGCTCCAGTGCTCAGCTGAATTCCAACACACCACAGTCATGGGGTGTATCTAATAAACTGGTAACTCAATGTAGATCGTTATAGAGCTAGAAAGATGTGAGCTGAAGTATGTTTCTCCCACCTGGCCAAACGTGAAGCGTACATTCAACGAGTTGTGACTATGGCTGTGGTAACTGTATCTGATCTCAGACTGTTGGTACCTCCAGCCCCCCATGTGGTCTATAAGACAGATAAGCGTCCAGAGGAGCCTTGTTCTGTCACTCACTCTCTCAGCTTCTTCCCTGACGAGGAGGTCGGGGACGTAAATGTCACTGGCCCACCCAAGAATCCTCCATCCAACCTCACTGTGGTCACTGTGGAGGGATGCCCCTCTTTCGTCATTCTCGACTGGGAGAAAACAGACAATGAAACTACAGGTAACCAGGACAACTGTTATGCTACTAAATTATCACTGACAAACCACCACAATAATTCTAGGAATCACTCACATAAAGAATAGTAAATATACTGTTCACCCAGCATGTTTTAGTAGGGGAGATGTTGAGTTTTTGCAGGCCTTTTCATTTGCAGAACCAAAAACTGATGTAGTGATTACTCTCTTTTGAAGCCCTAAACACTAAATGACTGTCACTACTTTTAAGCTTCCCTTTATTTTTACTTCATGCTTTTCATCTGTAACTTATTGAAAGGCTTATAAAATTCTCCATGTATGATGACTAGTTTTTAAACAAATACATTTAACTGTACTATTAAACTATTAAGCCTGCTAGGCAAAAAGGGCAATCAATTGTCTGACTTACATGATTTGTTTCTACAGAATATGAGGTCACTTCCTCCACCAAGGGACCAAATGGCAAAGAAGTGTCTGTTCTAACAACCAATCAGACACACACAGCTGTGGAGAACCTAAAACCAGAGAGCAGGTATGCACACAATGTCTGTTTCTGATGCATTTTCATAGGCTTGGCATACAGCAAGTCCCTAAAGTGACGGAACTTGTAAATGTCCTTCATTTTTCAGTTATGAGTTCACAGTGACACCCAAGAATGAGCTGGGTTCAGGCCCTCCCAGTGAGCCAGTCGCCTTCAGCACTGAATCTGGTATGGAGAGGAGCCCAGAGCCCTCAGTAGTCTACATCTGGCTCTCCAAGTCAAGCCACAGTACAGCACTGATTTTCATGAAATCACTGAAATCATTCAAGTAAAAGTATTAGAAAGCTCATTAGCTCTTGATTTGAGTGTTTATAACACCATCCAATACAGAACATGCTGCTTTAAGTGATTAAGTGACCCTTATTAGTTCCACAATGGGGAAACCCAAAATCTGTGCAGTGAAACACCACATATACTAGTGAATGCACACACTAGGGGGCAGTGAGCAGACATGCCCGGAGTGGTGGGCAGCCCTATCCACAGTGGCCAGGGAGCAGTTGGGGGTTAGGTGCCTTACTCAAGGGCACTTCAGTCACGTATTGTTGGCTTAGAGGATCGAACCAGCGACCTTCTAGTCACAGGGCTCCTAACCTCCAGTCCATGACTGCCCCAGAACTTGTGGCGACTGCCATCAAAACCCAGTTAAATCATATGAAAAAAAATAACAATTTGAGTATTATTCGCCTACATGGCAATTCAGAGACCATGCGTCAGTAAGCATGAGCTATCTATGTATTATTGTTTAATCACCTGCTCTAATTTCTTCATACTAACTGGCATGAGATACTGTAGGCCGTGGGACACTATAATGAGGTCTTCCTACACAATAAAAGAAAAGAAAAAATGATCAACTGAATTAGAGTTGAATTATAATATTGAATTATAGTGCTAAGTTGAGTTCAATATAGCTTGTAGTAAAATCTTTATTCACACTTAACATTTCCCAAAACTATTCATCCCATCCGTTAATATTCGAAGTGATACTCACTTGAGCAACATTTGATATTCTCATCAGCTCAGCTTGCATGCAAAGTTGCATGTTTTTATTAGCTTGACGTGGTACACTGAATGTGCATGTATGCTGAATTATTCTGTTAGCTTTGCCCAGGCTTTTCTGTCAGAAATGTGGGTAATTAGCCCAGTCAAAGGCCCAGTGTGAAGCTAACGGATTCAATATGGCTCTTTTTTTTCTCTCTCTGTTAAGATCTTGGGGGTCTGTCCGAGAGCCAGCGGCTAATAGAAAACACAAGGGTGATGACTAAAATTGATAAATTACAAGCCTGGGATTTCTCTGAAATCCACAAAATCGGTCACAGCACAGACTATGCGTGTGAAGATTTTACCTTTCGCTTTCACTTGAGCTGCATGGGAACTCCAGAGATTTATTAGTTTTCGTCTGTCGAGTGGCATACATAGTGCATTCGAAACGCAGAACCGAAACATGGTGACAGACCTGTGCCACTACAAGTGGAACACTGAGAAATGTAGAGCTGATGATCACTAATTGAGGTTCTTTGTGGAAACACAGGACTGTGATGGCCCACTGAAAGATAATCACTTAATGAAGATAGCCTACACATTTGTACCCAAGGCAAAGCAAAACTGCATGTTTCGAAGAGAAAGGATAAGAGTATCTTAAAATTATTTTTTCCCACATTGTAATTGCTTAAACAGAAAGCCATAAGCAAAAATATTGAGAAGACCACATAACATGTAGCCCTGTGCAGTATTTTTCCTACAATATAATTCAGGAATGACCTCAACACATTTCATTCAGGCATTGAGGTAATACCCATAGAATGTAAATAATGTATTATGTAATATTACAGGCTGTGATGGCATCTTTTTCTCTTACAGCGGACCCCCGTGTGAGTGAGATCCCCACTGGTAAATGTCCTCATCATTCATATCACTGGCCCTAAAAGAAGGAGTTCAGTATCATTAACACACAATGTAAACAAAAGTCATGTATGTCTTCATTAATTATGTTAAGGCCAGCTTTTCCCAAACATGTCTGCTGCTGATGAAAAAACTACAAATTTGTCTCAGTGCAAGCTTTTGTATTCTCTCTCCTGCAGGTAAAAATGCTATCTGGTCATCATTCCCATTCAAAGCAGACTCCTACTCTGAATGCAATGGGAGACAGTATGTGAAACGCACCTGGTACCGCAAGTTCGTGGGCATTCAGCTGTGTAACTCGCTCAGATACAAGATCTATCTAAGTGATTCCCTTAAAGGTCAGTATCTTGCTGGTGTTATTCCAGCGCTTTTTCTGTTGCCAGCTTCTTAGGAACGCCTACTATATATACATTGCCCTCCACAAATATTGACACCCTCTGGTAATGAAAAGCAAAATGAGCTGTAAAAAAATATTCCTTATCCTTTCAAAATATAAGCAAAAATATAACCTTTATTTAAGGCATAATGATTGAAAGAAAAAATAAAATTTTGTCATGAAATAAATATTTTTCTTTAAACTATTGTGCCACAATTGTTCACACCTTTGGAAATTCTTAAGAGTGAAATCTAACTTAAGTATATTATCATTCATTTTTAAGTTTGTTAAGTGAATTTAAGTTCACTTAAATGATTAGGTGCACTTAATGACTTCCTGTTTCACTAGGGAAAAATGAGATGCAACACAGGCCAAATGCCCTTCCATCACTACATGAGAGGCCAGGGAATATAACAATGATGTGCAACAAAAGGTTGTTGAGTTGCACATATCAGGAAGTGGCTACAAGAAAAGGGCTAAACTGTTGAAAGTAAGTAAAAATGCCCATGTCCATTTTCAGGGCAATAAGAACTTAAAACAACTGTAGATGTTAAGAATCTGCTGGGAAGACGATGTATGTCTACAACCCCATTTCCAAAAAAAGTTGGGACGCTGTCCAAAATGCAAATAAAAACAGAATGCAATGATGTGAAAATCATTTAAACCCTATATTTAATTGAAAATAGTACAGAGACAAAATTTTTAATTTTGAAACTGAGAAATCTGATTGTTTTTGAAAAATACATGCTCATTTTGAATTTGATGCCAGCAACATTTTGTGGTTGTGGCAGGGGCAGTTGTGGCAGGGGCATGTTTACCACTGTGTTGCATCACCTCTTCTTTTAACAATACTCTAAGTGTTTGGGAACTGAGGAGACCACTTGCTGTAGTTTTGAAAGTGAAATGTTTTCCCATTCTTGATTGGTATGGTGACATATGTCGCTGCAAAACCTGTATATATTGTTCAGCATTAGTGGTGCCTTCACAGATGTGCAGGTCACCCATGCCATGTGCACTAATGCACCCTCACACCATCATGAATGCTGGCTTTTGACTGTGTGCTTATAACAAGCTGGATGGACCCTCTACTTTTTATCTGCAATGGGGAAGATGTGTATAATTTCCAAAAAGAATTTCATATTTTGATGCGTCAGACCACAGGACACATTTCCACTTTGCCTCAGTCCACCTTAAATGATCTCAGGCCCAGAGAAGGTGGCGGCATTTCAGTATATCAGGTATAGTGGTGTTACAAGGGTTTTTGAAACCCTCAGCATCACTGCTGAGTTGTCCACCAAGTAAAAAAAGCCAGTCAACAACTTTGGGCGTTAAACACTATGGGACACAGGGACAAAATTTACAAAGTGTATAAGAGAGTCTGTAGCATCCACAGCAGTTGGGCTAACAGACTCATATACAGTAGCACAAAGGGGAGTACATCTGAAAACATTTAGATGTTGTTCAAAATTAAACCAGATATACAAAATTATCAGTGCTGTCATAGTTTGAGAACTGGGAAAATATGAATGTAAGCTACTTAAAAACTAAAAAAATAATGAAACTATGAAAATCTTTTAGCTGGACTCAGATGAGGATAATTCTGCATCAAAAAGCTGTAGTGTTACCTTCATTGTTATCTCATCTGAAGGAGGAGTCTTCAGCACTCAGTGCTATTTGGTGTAGAATTATGCTCAGGGGGACAAATTTTGTACACAAAATCTTTTATCACACCTCAGTTATCAATGCAGAGAAAGGCATGCCTACGAGTAATTTACTGTTTATCGTTGCTCATGTTTTTTTCAGTAGCAGAGTTGTGTTTATTCTGAGGTAATTTATCAACTTTCAACAGCTAAATTACCAAACGCTAAGAGCTCACAAGTGATCTTAACATTCTATAAGGTCAATCATCATTAGACAGCATCAAATTAGAATTAGTCTTAGCATATACAGTAACTCAGATAAAGCGTAATTTACTTTTAAGTGGTTTGTCCTTGTGACATTGAGCTCTGAGTGATCTCTTCCACATTTTAATCTATCACGTTTTAATCCAAAACTCTTTCAGCTACAGAAATGAAATAAAAACATTCCAACCATTCCAAAATCACCCTTGATGATCAGGAGAGAGTGTGTTTAAATTGTGTTTGTTTACATCACCTTTTCACCCCTTTTATCCCATCAAAATGACAATTACTGCCACTACAGTCTTTCTCATTGCATGTTAGTTCTGAGGCAATTTGTCGTTTTTCCTTTGGTCAATTGAGAAAGCAGTGTGCAGGCAGTAAATGGTTGAGAGTCTTGTCTATGGAAGCATCTTAGTATCAAAATTAAAATTAAAATGAAATAAGCAAAATGGCAATGTATTTGTATGTTTGCATTTAAATTTTGCATCATCTATGCAAAGTTGACCTCAAAAGGAAATTCAAATTCAGTACTACAAATTTAAATTGCCACTTGGTATACTAGTATTGACATTTCATTTATACAAAGATTTAGATGCTTTATGAGTAGCTTTATTTAAATTAAAATGTATTTCCAAAACAGCATATTAATGTGATTATGCAATAGTTGTCAAAATTAAAATGTAATTTATCTTGTTTGCATTTTCACTCTCTAATAATGCATTTAAATTGCATTATCAAAGAGAACACCAAGATAGAAAGAGGGTAAAATGTAAAATAGGAAACAGCACCTGTCCTCATTGCAATTACATATTCCTGCCTACTGTGCTCATTCTTTGTCAAAAAACCTTTGGAAATTGCATTTTCATTTTCATCGTCTTCCCAACCTGTTAATCATCCCATCAGGATGGGGCACTCAGTGAAAATGGCTTTATTTAAAAACATGGCGGCCGATCTTTCCTTAAAAGATGAAGCAAAACAGAGCAATATATAATTTTGTGATGCTTGCTTTGTAATGACACAGGACCTACAAAGAATCCTTATTCTAACATGAGGCAGGTGTTTCTGTTTTAATCATCTGGTTAAAATTATTGTCCTTGTTAGATGACCATATGCTACAGATGATGCAGATAAAGATTAAGCTAGCATCAAAGGCTGTTTTCAACTTACATAGTGAACATCAGATGTGGATATACTACTGTGTTCCACTTTATCTATTACCATAAAATGAATTAGTTGTAATTGTACTGGTACACATGATAAACATGTCCAACATGTCCGCCACGTTGGAGCAGTCCAGATCCACTTGTGTATTGAGACATGATAAATTCTTATTAAATAGGCCATAATTTCCTTATTGCCCACCCCATTTTCAACCAATTTGTTTTGTTATAATCCTCAAAAATAGATTAATCTAGATTACTCTGACTGCCCTTGGTAGCTTTTATTTCTGTTTAATAACTGTGCTGTGCTGTGCTAATCATGCTGGTTAGCTGTCTGGAGCAGCAGGAAAGTATTCAGTCTGCATTTGACATTAAACACCAAGTTTAGTGCAAGCTTTGGTATAACCACAATCTCAGACACATCAGCAAATCCATCAATGTGTGAATCACTTCTAATCTTAATGTACATAAAAAATTACATAACCCCCCCCCCAAAACATAGTGAGAAGGACGAGGCTGAAGTTGGCCTTATGCTCACCAGCTTCCTGTTTGAATTTTCGCATTCCAGCTCAAAAGGTGCAGCAGTTACAGAAACACCACTTGAAATACAAACTGAGCATTTTATCAGGCATACCAACCAAAGACGTGTACTTTGTAGGTTTAGAGTTACCGACTATAGCACATCTGTTGCAGCAAAAGCCCCTTTCTACCCCATCCATCAATGGAAAGGGACCACCATAGGACCACAGCCGACCAGATATTATTTGGGTGATGGACAATTTCACCACAGCAGTGACACTGAGACCTCCAACCAAAAATATTTAGCCAAAAGTGGTCCTGTGGTCAGAAACTGATCACTGATTAAGGGGATAGATGGATGATATACCAATAAAATGTCCCAATAAGGTATGTGTGTCCAATAGGGTGGCCAGTAAGTATATATTGTTTAAAAGCCCCAGCAATGCTGCTGTGACTGATATAATCATACCAGCTCCACATTTTTTCATGTGACAACCACTGTCATTGCTGTGCTGAGAATGGTCCACCACCCAAATAAATTATGGTCAGCAGTGGTCCTATGGTGGTCCCTTTTAATTGGCAGGCCAAAGGAATGCTGATAAACCAATGGTAAGTGTACCTGAAAACATGACTTGTCAGTATGAGCATTTCATGTGATGTTTCCTTTTTTATGCTCTCTGTAAGTGTACGTATAAAGTTTATATTTTATCTATGTGTCTCTAGGAAAGTTTTATAACATTGGGGATCAGGCTGGGTATGGAGAGGATCACTGTCAGTTTGTTGACTCTTTTCTGGATGGACGGACTGGAGGCCCACTGCCACCAAACCAGTTACCACCCAAACAAGGTATAGCGTTTTGTGCGCTTATGCTTTAAAATACCACTCCTCTCAAGACAAACATGCAGCACATAGAACTCTCAGCAATATTTCTTTCAGGCTATTTCCGGGCTGTCCGCCAAGAGCCTGTGAAGTTTGGAATGATTGGTGGGAGCTCTCACATCAACTATGTGGCCTGGTACGAGTGTGGAATCCCCATTCCTGGATCGTGGTAGACCCCCTGCAGCTGTCTGACAACACACTTGATAAGAATGTACAGTTGTTTAGAGATCACATATAAGAAGACAATGTAAATTTGTACAAAAAGCACAGCACTATAAAAAATCCTATTGAATGTATCTACATTATCTAATGGCACATACAATGCTCTGTTATTTATATGCAGAATAAATTTATTGGTCATCTAGAGTAAATAAAGTAAAGAACTAGAAGAGTTTACGGAAGCACGGGGTAGCAGGCTCCCTGAATGGTTGAAATATGTATATTATGTATCAAAAGGCTGGACATAATACTAGTGCTTTCCTGACCACAGGAAAAAAAAAAAAGAGGTGGCAAAGGACCAATCACAAATGACAAATGCTTACTCTGCAGCTGCAAATAATACACATTAAAACACACACCAACACTGCAAATGGATTTTTTGGAATGTCTTGTGATAGCTCTAATTTATATATAAAATATCTTAGAGTTCTGATACAGTTTACACAGCTTGAAACAAACAATTACACTACTATTCTTTTATGGAGTCTTGCAGCTTTTCAAACTAATAAGCACAGGTTGTCTGTGACTTAAAGAAAATTACTGTTGACTTATTAGTGAAATCTGCCACCAGCAATAATCAGAACCATATGGGAATCATAGCCATTTGAGAAAATGTAGCAGCAGGAAAATGGCAGATAGCTCAAAGTACATCTCATGTTTTCTTCAGAAATTTACTGGCTCATAATTTGCAATCAGGGCTTTTACACTGCGATTTTATGGAAGTGTTTTTAATGCTTTTTTTTTATATGTATTTTTGAGACAAATGGTTCAATATTAAACGCTGCAAAATTTATTTTTATCCTGTAATGTTTTTGTGTTATTTTGTGAACATGTAAGCAAAAATAAATGTTCTTTTCTGAATCTCTTGAAAAGTACCTGTTGCATTACTTATGCACAAATCCACATGAGAAGCTAGATGTTGGGGCATGTTAAACAGAGGTCCAGAAACTACTTTGCAAAAAGCACAGAATCTAAGAAATGGTAAAATTAATGTGTTGAATATAGATGGCAATAATTATAAAGGTATAAATGCTAATTCGTCACTCCCACACACACACACACACACCACACGCTCACAAACCAAAACTTTTGCATCTTCAGTCTCAAAGTCTTTATTCACCTGCAGAAAACAAATGTTACATTTTATACAGAAGTGACTTGCGTCACTGTACAGGGCGAGTCAGGGATTAGTAAAAAGCTGGTGGTAGGGTGGGGCGGGGGGGGAGATGAGAAGATGCAGAGAATGGGGGGTGGACTAAACAATGTAATTTCCTTCAGGTGTGATTATATCTAGTGTTTCAGAAACAGAAAGCAGACTTATGATTTAACACACAATAATACTAACAAGGAGACAAGTGATAAAATAACACACCATACACGCTTTCCTAACTCCAATAACATACATACTATTGTCAACTCCCACACTGTTTGGTCTCATCTGTGCAACCACACAATTCCATTTCTCAGCATTTTATTTTTGCATTTGCTTGTATACCCTCACTTTTAATCAGTCACTCACTCTCTCTCTCTCTCACACACACACACACACACACATACACACACATACACACACACACACACACAATGTCAAAAACAGGGTGTTCGGGCTTGATGTGTTGTACTCGAATGCTGGAGCAGATCAGAGCTCTAGCTGGATTTGCATGTTAACTGGGTTTTACCGGTAGCCTGGGCCTGGTTGGGTGTAGCCCTGACCATACGGGGGACGGTTTCGGGCATATGGGTTTGAGCCCCCAGGGGGAGGGGTAGCGCCAGGCGGTGGGGTGTATCCAGGGCGGGGCTGATACCCCGGGGCAGGCTGGGAGGTGGGTGGCAGGCTATAGTTGGCTGGCTGCTGGGAGGCCTGGGAGGTGTAGTTTTGAGGTGGAAACGCTCCAGGTGGGTACTGGCCTGGTCCCTGAGGAGGAGGGGCCTGTGACTGGGCATTGAATCCAGGGGCAGAGCCTGGCGCAGCAGCCTGAGATGTGGGGGTGGGGTAATTCTGGAACTGCTGCTGGGGAGGAGGGGCTTGAGGAGTACCAGGCTGAGGAGTATAACCTGCTGAAGATGACAAACACAAATATAAAGCCTAAACATCTTACTCAACAACAGAGCTACAGATATACGATTTTAAAAAGACAAAACACATTTAAATCTACAAAAATATATATTTCTAAATCATTTTTCTGCAGAAAAATTGTTTTCTTTCATTGTCTCATATTTTAAGAAAAAGCAAAAATCACTGCAAGTCTATGCGGGAGTGTTGGCTTCTGTAGTGTTCCCTCCATTGGCTATCGAGGTCTATGGTTCACATTTTCGCTCTAATCTAGCTCCCAGTACACTGTATCAGATTATCAGTGCACTTAACTAGGTTTTTTGGTGAGACAGAAGCAGTAGAAGACAAAAAGGGATTGTTACCAGGGTACTGCATGCCATATTGCTGCTGAGCAGTGGCTGGCTGCTGTGGGGGATATCCACCTGGGGCCTGATACTGCTGATAGATCTGACCTGAGAGAGAAAGAGAAAGAAAAAGAGAGAGTTAGTCCCCCTTTTGCTGCTGTAACACATATATATGTGAATGTGTTGTCTTTTTGCAGAAATTTGCCATTTTGAATGATGAGTATTTTATTTACATGAATTATGCAGATTTGATGAGTGTTAAATTCTGGCAAAGGGCTGGTGTCTGCTGCTAGCACAGAATTCTGAGGGAGATTTTTTTTAAATATATGATAAAGACAACATGAGTAAACACATAATGCAGCTTTTAAATGATCATCCCATTTATTCTTCTTGGCACTCTTGGCAGTAAGATGTGCAATCAAATGTTTGCAATAACTTGCAATGAGTCTTTTACATTGCTGTGGAGAAATTTTGACCTGCTCTTCTTTGCAGAATTTTGCCTACATTGGAGAGTTTGAGCAAGAACTACCCATTTAAGGTCTTGCCACAGCATCTCCATGGGACTCAAAGGATACTTCAGAACCTTAAATTTGTTTCTTCTAAGCCATTCAGAGGTCGACTTGCTTGTGCGCTTTGGATCATTGCATTGCTGCATAATACAACCTTCTTACTGTGGAAACATGTACATTGGTACATTGACCTTAACTGAGGCAAGTGAGGCCAGCAGTTCTTTAGAGTTCTTTTGTGGCCTCCTGGATGAGTCATCAATGTGCTCTTGGTGAAATTTTGGTATGCCAGCCACTCCTGGGAAGGTTCACCACTGTTCCACGTTTTCTGTATTTGTGGATAATGGCTCTCACTGTTATTCGCTGGAGTCCCAGGGCCTTAGCAATGGCTCTGTAACCCTTTCCAAACTGGAAGATTTCAATGACTTTCGCATCTGTATTTGAATCTCTTTAAAACATGGCATTATGTGCTGCTTTTAGAGACTTTATAGCCTGCTTCACATTGCCAGAGAGGTTCTGTTTAAGTGATATTCAGATTCAACAGGTCTGGCAGTAATCATGCCTGGGTGTGGCTAGTGAAACTGAACCCAGTAGTCAACAGAATTTGGTTAACTGGCTGATTTAGTAGCTAAGGCAGCAATTACATTTTCACACAGGGTCATGTAGGGCTAAACAGCATTTTTCCTTCAATAAATAATCATTTAAAAACAGCATTTTTTGTTTACTTGGGTTTTCTTTGTCTAATATTAAAAGTAATTTGGTGATCTGAAACATTCAAGTGTGGGTTTTTTTTTTCAGTTGCTGTTACAAAACCAAAAATCCTGAAGTTGAGTCGACTTGTTTTGAAGCTACACACAAATACCAAAGTTGAACAACTTTACCGATGAAGACTACTTAAGACCAGCGGGGGGAAAAAAAGCGGATTACTGCTGTTCCCTCTGTTGTGTTTTCCACCACAGAAACTGGAATCAAGGTAAGAAAATTTGTGAGTGAAAAAAATTAGTCATTGTTAGCCACCGTGCATATATCAGTGTTGGCCGTTAGCTTACAACGGCCCGTCTAAAGTAGGCCATGCAATAACAACTATCTACCTAGCTATCGCACCTAATAAACTGGTAAGCAGAGCAGCAAGTAGTTTGTTGTTGACACACTCAACTTCCATTCGCTCTGGGTTGTTCTTCGGCGCAGGTGGATTCAGAGTCTCCCTCTCCCTCTCCCTCTCCCACTCCCTCTCCCTCTCCCACTCCCTCTCCCACTCCCTCTCCCTCTCTCCCCTTCTTCAAGCCAAACTCATTTGTGTGTTCTGGTTCAAATTGATATGGCTCTACAACATTTTGGAAACACACCTCCTCAAAGTTCTCTGCATATTCTGCCATCTTCCAAAATAGGTAGGAAAGCCGTAAAAATAAACTGTACAGAAAAGCTGCTCCTGGTGTTAGCAGTGTTGAACAGCTGTAACTACAGGCTAGTAAAAACAAAAATCACATTAGGTAGCATGCACTAATCAAAGATTAGGAATGTGATTTTGAGGGGAAACACAGAGGTAATCCTGGAGTAAATTTCTATACTAAAAAATACATTTTATGCCAAAACTATCACAAAACAATGTCTCAGGTATCAAGCCATGCATTCATAACCATTTTGCATAATAACTTAACAGGATGTAGCTTTTAGAGACAAAGTACTTCGGACGTCTGGTTCCTAGTACTATAATGGTGAACAATTTTGACCTAGAAAGGTGCATTTTACACCCAACTACTCTCTACAATGATTTTGTTTATATCTAAACAATTGAATGATTGAGTAATTTTGCAAAATCGGTGGACTTCCCCTTTAAGATTGGTTTCTGAACTTGCCACCTTTTCACTACTCTGAAGTTTCATGTCTTTAACAGCGACTGCTCTCTCTGCTCTCTCTTACCATCATTCAACATCCTACAACCATAGCAGGGCTCGATACAAAAAACACAAATAGCAAAACACAAAACCCTTTCTCACCCACCAACACAAAATCAACTGTATGGAATAAAGCAGTTTACCAAAGACAAGTGGCACTGTTTGTGTGCATAGCACCAAGTAACAAATTAAAAGTGTATGTCTCTGCTTCAGTCCATGACCAGTTTACTGAAGTGGTACTAATAAAGTAAAGAAACATATCAAAGGTTCCCATGTCCTGACACTGCGCTCTGTGTAACCATGGTCACCAGCAGCACAAACTGCTCAGGCCAGAGTAACAGTACAGTTCGTCACGTGAACTCAACAGATATAAGAGTGGTTCTGTCCTGTTTCCACAGCAAACACAGCATGACAGAGGAAAAGATGACGCTACTCAAAAACTTTCACTCATTTGGTCTAATTTTTTTCCTTGCTGGATAACTGTGA